AAATAGAGTATGCACGAAAACTACGACGAGTAAAAACGGAAGAGAAAGGAATAAGGAAAACGGCTACGTTACTGAGCAATGAGGTGGAAATCAAAGTTGAGAAAACGAAATAACGACCAGAAAAACAAAAAGTGTCATAGCTGGAAAACGAAATTGAAGGGAACTATATCGCGACAACTATATACTTGAGCTGACGAAGATGCAATCTAGGGAAAAAACGAACATACCAGTGTGTCTAGGAGAGAAGACAAGCAAGAACTAGCGTCTGCTGCTGGGGAGAGTAAGCGAGCAAGAGGAAGCAGCGAGAAAAAAAGGGAAGAAATGAAACCCTAGGGAATGCAAACTTCGTCGCATTGATACTTCACCTCAAGTTAAAACGCACGAACCGATATGGGGCATGTAGCTCAGTCGATTGAATGTCAATTAAAGCCCGAGTCCCAAATTGCGGGCCGCGCGGGTCAAGCTTTTAAAACTTGACGAACTAGTGTTTTCAAGGTTTGAAGAAAAGCGTGCCTGCAATTTGGGACTTTTGGGAACTGAACCAACCCCCAGGGCGAAATACGAGGGCGGGCTGGGTTTGGCGAAAAAAACGAAAAAAGCGAAATCGGAATCTTTCGCCAAAACCCTCACCACAAAAACCCCCTCGCGTCAACCTTTTAAAACTTGTGCAATTTGGGCTGCCGGCTTTAAGATCCGAATGGTCTTAGATTCGAATCTCTTGGACATCACCTTACCAAGAATTTATTTTAGCGATTGTTTTTCCAATTTCACACTTCCCACTAGTAATCCCCTCAAGAAAAAGCTTCGCAACCCTACGACGACTTCCGTCGCCTCTTGTTTTCACTATTTTATAATGCACATCACCATAGTTTTCTAATCTTCTTTCCATTTGGCACAACCGAATGGAAACACGGGGTTGTGGTATTAAACGCAAAAACAAGCATAACGTGTAGTTACAAACACACATATGATTTTCGTGGGGACTGAGGCTCCATAAATATACCATCCGACCCTGCTAAGCTGGGGAGCTTACAGTAATCTGGAGCATACTGATGTTTCTCAAATGTACCGTAGTAAAGGCTTGATTTGATGTGCATGTTTCATTCACCATGCCCTTTGCTCATGCATTTACACGTTCATTTTTGTCTTGATGTAGTGGTCAATAGTGCATTTCCGGTTTACTCACTGAAAATAATACATACCGGTATCACAATTTTCTCACTCAACGATACACCAAATACACAAGTCAGTAAGATAAGAATGGATGCCTACACTACACAATACATGGACATAGTAGAAATGCTAGTAAACCCTAGTCAAATCAGTGCACGCACGCTCTACATTACACAGGGAAAACTGGTTAGTCAAGTGCCGAAAAAACTGTAACAAAAATCATTTTTTTTTTTTTTTTTTTTTAGAAAGGGCTTCCAGATCCTTCTGGTATCAGCTCAAGTGTAGCTGATGTGGCCACTCTTAGAATCGCTCTTTCCAAAAGAGCTACTGAGGACTGGGATAGACCAAGGTCCTGCAAAGCAAGAGGAAAAAAATCGGAGCACTCGTCAGTACGAATGAAGTGATTAATGAAGTGATTACACTGTTACCAGTATGTAAAATGAAGTGATTAATGTTGCATCGGGCAGAGGGAGGGCAGGGAGAGGATGGAATGGCATGTGGGAAGTGGGGAGGGAGCAAGAGGCTCACCGGACTGTGTATACGATTCAACAAAGCTGCTTTCTGCTGCTCTGTCATTGGCTTTGGCTGCAATGGCGCCGCTCCTGCTGCAGCTGCTGCAGTTGCTGCTGCCCTCCTTCTAGCCCAATCCCTCTGCCTGATCCTGGAGTAACAGTGGCTGGTGCAGGTGGATCTGCTGCTACGGCTGCTGCTACAGCCGTTTCAGCTACAGCCGTTGCAGCTACAGCCGTTGCAGCTACAGCCGTTGCAGTGTAGTTCGGAGGAGCGTCGGCAGACGCAGAGGGATGACTGGAGTGGGTGAGAGACCAGATGCGATGGAGAGCAAGGGAGAACGGAGAGTGGGGTCGCTGCGGGTTTGAGGAACCTGCACCCGCGTGTTTCTGTGCTTGGCTGGCAGGGTTTGAAGTGTGCGAGTCTGAAGGATGGCGTGACGAGTGTAACTGTGACGGTGAGGCAATTCCATAAGACTCAGGTGGAGAGTAGGATGGAGCTGCGTTGGGCTGAAGGGAGGGAGGCTGGTTGCGAGTCTGGGAAAGTGAGCTGGGAGAGGGGGAGTGTGAGGGGGAGAGTGAGGGGGAGTGTGGGTGTGCAGGGGAGAAGGGGGAGAAGAGAGATGCTAGTGTTGATGCTGGTGATGCAGGCCGTTTTCCTGGCTTTCCGGGAGTCCTTTCAGGCGTTTCTTCAGGTGCTTTTTCAGCTGTTCCACCAACAGAGAGAGTTGATGCTGCTGCTGTTGCAGCTGCTGCTGTCCCAGATGCTGTAGGCTTGGCATTGGCTGGTTTTCCCAAGATGGGGCGAGATTTTGTGGGGCTGAAGAAACCGAATGGGGAGAGTGAGCGAGGGCGAGAGGATTTTTGGGAGGCAGTGGAAGAGGAGGAGGAGGAGGAGGAGGAGGAGGAGGAGAAGGAGGAGGAGGAGGAGGAGGAGGAGGAGGAGGAGGAGGAGGAGGAGGAGGAGGAGGAGGAGGAGGAGGAGGAGGAGGAGGAGGAGGAGGAGGAAGAGGGTGTGGGTTGAGAAGAAGATAAAGCAGCAGTGGCAGAGGCATAGCTGCTACCAGAAACGGAGCTGACATGGGGTGAAGCAGCAGTAAATGTGGCACCAGCAGAACCAGCAGCAGCTGCAACATCAGCTGAACCAGTAGCAGCCACACCGTCAACAGAGTCAGTATCGCCACTGCGAGGCGTCGCCAGCAAGAGTGGATCAGAAGTGGCAGCAGAAACAGCGGGAGCAGCAGGAGCAGCAGCAGCTGTAGTGGCAGGCAGCAGTCTTGCAACAGCAGAAGAGAAAGAGGTGGTGGAGAGAGGGGAGGAGAAAGACGGATGAGAGGGAAGGAGGAGGAGGAGGAGGAGGAGGAGGAAGAGAGGTAGAAGGAGAAGGGGGGGATGGGATAATCTTAAGGCGGAGGAGAGGAGCAGTAGGGGTTACCAGTGGGCTTTTGGCAGGGGAAGTTAAGGGGGAGGACTGTAAAGGGGATGCCAGAGGGGATGCTAAAGGGGATGTTGGGGATCGCTGCTCCTTTGAGTTCAAACCCAAACTCCCCTGCTCTTTGATCGGTTCGAGAGCAGTCCAGCTCACTGACCTGCCTCGCTCCCCGCTGCCTTGGAGTTTCAATTCTTCAGAATCTAAACCAGATCGCGCAACGCTGCCCGGGGACTTCGATTCTTGAGAGTCTAAGCCTGATCCCCCCTCCTCCTGGATGGGAGAGAGGGTGGTCCATCTAACAGACGTGACTCGTGGCTTCCTGGTTAGTGGCTCGCATAGCAGAGCCAAGGCGGGTCGACGCCTTGAAACTTGAGGGGTGGTAGCAGCAGCTGCTTTCGATGAAGTCTGTTTCTGAGATGCCTCATGTACAACATTGGCTGTGTCACCAGAAGCAGAAGCAGCTGTGATTGTTCCTGCCACAGCAGCAGCTGCTTTAGAAGCAGCCTGTTGCTGAGACGCCTCATTTAAAACATTGGCTGTGTCACCAGAATCAGAAGCAGCTGTGCTCGTGACTGCCACAGCAGCAGCAGCAGCAGCTTTAAAAGCAGCCTGCTTCTGAGGCGCGTTATGAACCGTACTGGCCGCTTCGTCAGAAGCAGAAGCTACTGTGCTCATTCCTGCTCCAGAAGCAGCAAGAGTTATCACGGCAGCAGCATCAGATGGACCCATTTCTCTGCACCCCACACCAGTTCCTTTCCATGCACCAGTTCCTTCCACTACTCTTCCTACCTCACCTCCACTCCACCCTCGCGTCTCTTCACATGCTTTTCCGGTCGACACAGAAGTCGCCTTTTTAGGGTCCTCTTTTGACGTGCCCTGCGTTTGCTGCTGCATCTCCTCACCAGCCTCCTTCCCTTCAGGTTTCTCAACAATTTCAGCTGCTGCGACTGTTGATTTTTGAGTCGACTCAAAAATATTCTTATGCTGCATCTCCTCACCAGCCTCCTTCCCTTCAGAAGTCGCGTTTTGAGTCGACTCAAAACACCTGCACTGCGTTTGCTGCTGAATCTCCTTACCAGCCTCCTTCCTTTCAGGAGTCTCAGAGGTTTCAGCTGCCTCGAAAGTTTCAACGGCCCCTGACTTTCCATCAGCTTCATACCTTTCAGCCAACCCTCTTGCTCCAGCAACAGCATCACTTAATGAAACAGCATCAGTTGGTGAGTCAGCCCCTATTGGTGAGTCAGCACAACTTGGCGAATCAGCTGTCGGTGAGTCAGCACAACTTGGCAAATCAGCAATTGGTGAGTCAGCATCGCTTCGTGAATCAGCACCACTTAAAAACGACTCAGGAGATGATGACAGGTCAGCAGCTCCAGATGCGTCAACAGCAGCAGCACCATCACCATCACCATCACCAGCAGCAGCAGCAAAAACTCCAGCACCAGAAACACCTGCACCCGCAGAAACTGCCGCAGAAGATGCAGCAGCGACAGCAGCAGCAGCAGGAGCAACACCAGGAGCACTTGCTGCCAACCCATCAGTAGAAACAGCACAGGAAGCACCTGCGGCTGATCCACTAAAAGCACCACCCGGCCCCCTTCTCCCGCTGGCAGCACTCCCCAGCCACCCCCGCAGCCTGCTCGTCTCCTCCGCCAGCTGGCGCATCGCCATTCGCTGCTGCTGCAGCCGGCTCCGGAGATTTTGCAGGCTGTGCAGGCTGTGTTGAGTGGCCACGCGGGCAGCTAGGGCGGGGGAGAGGGGGAGGGAGGAAGGTGGGGCGGGGAAGGGGGTGAGGGAGAGAGAAGCCAAGTTTTGAGTCGACTCAAAAATTGACTTATCACACACGGGGAAGGGGCTTGGGAGAGAGGAGGTGGTGTGGGAGTGACGAGGGAGGGAGGAGGTGGTGTGGGGCTGTGCAGGCTGTGCTGGGTGGCCACTCGGGCGGCGAGAGCGGGGGAAAGAGGGAGGGAGGGGGGTTGTGATCTGGGGGCGAGGGCGAGGGAGCAAGGTGGTGTGGTGGGAGTGGCGAGGGAGGAGGCGGTTGGTGTGAGGCGGTGCAGGCTGTGTTGAGTGGCCACGTGGGCGGCTGGGGCGGGGGAAAGAGGGAGGGAAGGGGGTGGTGGTGTGGGGGCGAGGGCGAGAGAGGGGGGCGGTGGTGTGGTGGGGGTGATCAGGGAAGGAGGTGGTGGTGTGGAGCTGTCTAGGCTGTGTTGGGTGGCTAGATGGGCGGCTAAAGCAGGCGAGAGGGGGAGAGAAGGAGGTGGGGTTGCAGAGAGGGCCAGTAAGAGGGGTGGTGGTGTGGTGGGGGTGGTGAGGGAGGAAAGGGGTGGTGTGGGGTTGTGCAGGTTGTGTTGGGTGACCATGCGGGTGGCACGAGCAGGGGCGAGGGTGAGGGAGAGGGGTGGTGGTGTGGGGGTGACGAGGGACGGAGGTAGGTCAGGAGAAGCAAGGGCGAGAGTGAGAGGAAGGGAAAGTGTGGAGGAGGAGGGGGAGGAGTATGGAGGAGGGGAGAGGCACGAGGATAGAGGTGGTGTGACTGTCCCTTCTAAAAAACCTGATGCTGATGGTCCTGTGGTTGCAACGCCTGCTGATAGCCCTGTGGTTGCAACGCTTTCCTCTGAAAGGCCTGGTACATCGTCCTTTACTTCACATTCCAGTGTTCCTGCATCACCATAATCATCATAACCACTCTCCTCCTCACCACCTGATTCTTCTCTCTCTTCTCTTTCTTCACCTTCAGCTGGCACTGTTCTTTCCTCCTGCAACCCTGCCCGCTCAAACCCTCTTTCTTCCTCTCCTTCAGCTGGCACTGTTCTTTCCTCCTGCAGCCCTGCCCACTCACACCCTGCCATTCTCTCTGCACCCTCCTGTTCCGCATCGATCCTCTCACACTTCTTCTCGTCCTCTTCATTCTCCTCCTCCTTCACGTCCACATTCTCCTCCCCTCCCTTCTCCCCTTCTCCCCCCTCCTCCTCCTGCCCGTCCTTCCTCTCCTCTTCTTCCTCCTCCCTTTCCCTCTTTACATCCTTGTCACTTCTCTCCCCTTCACCTCCCTCCTCCTCAACGGTTGTCCCTTCTTCCATCCCCACTGATACTGCTACAGCCGGCCCGTCAGTCTCAGGGTCTGCAGGGAAATCTGCCACTACATCCTCACAAGGGATTACAACTGCAGGGGGGATCTCCTCTGCTACAGCCGGCCAATCTGCCTCAATAATCTTTGTAGAAAAATCTGCAGCTACATCCCCGCAAGGAATTCTAACTGCTGGGAGAATAACTCCTGCTACATCCTCAGCTACAGCTGCTGCAGTGGTACTTGCTGCTACAACCACGCCAGGAACAAGCTCCGCTACAGGTGCCGCAGAGGCACTGGCTGCTACAGCCGGTGCAGACGGAACTTGTGCTGCAGTGGTGCTTGCTGCTACAACCACGCCAGGAACAAGCTCCGCAACAGGTGCCGCAGAGTCACTGGCTGCTACAGCCGATGCAGACGGAACTTCTGCTGCAGTTGTGACATCGGAGTTACCTGCTACATCCAGTGTGGGGGAAGGCCTTGCTACATCCAGTGTGGGGGAAGGCCCTGCTACATCCAGTGTGGGGGAAGGCCCTGCTACAGAGAGGGTCGCTCCTGTTACAGCCAATGCAGGGGAAGCATCTGCTACGACCACCACTGAAGTAGCTGTAGCTGCTGCTACAACTTGAGATTGGATTGGCTCTGCTGCAACTGTCACCTGATCACTCAACATAACACCTGAAGAACCACTCCCTGGTACAGCCAGTCCAGGGGCTTTTTGAAATTCACCTGACATTCCACCTGAGCCGGCACCTGGGCTGAGCATCTTGTGGAGGGAGGACAAGAGGCGACGGGGAGAGGGTGGTCGAATCTTAGCAGCAGGAGGGGAGGATTGTCTGGGCGAATTCTGCTGAAGGGTTGAATTCCCAAGGGGCGAAGTCCCAAGGGGCGATTTCCGGGTGAATCCAAGAAGGGAGGATTTGTGAGCAGGGGATGCAGAGAGCATAGGTGGGGTGGAAGGGGTGGTGTTAAGAGGAGGGGCTGGGGTTGAGGTAGGAGAGGGTGAGCCGGGGAGAGCGGAGAGGGGAGGAGCGAGGGAGGAGGGAGAAGAGGAGAGGTGGGAGTCGGGGAAGCCATGAGGAGGAACAGAAGAAGCAGGAGGAGCAAACGGAGGAATAGAAAGGGGTGGGATGGGATCCAAAGCGATAGCAGGTGGAGGGAGGTCTACGGGAGGAAGGTTCCAAGCAGTTGTTGTGGAGTAGGGGGTGGGCCCTGCAGGGGCTGATGCAGGGAAAGGCTGAGGAGGAAAATGGGAGGGATGACGAGGGAGGGGAGCATGGGGAGGAGGGGTATGGGAAGAAAGAGCATGGCGAGGAGCGGTATGGGGAGGGTACGGGGTATGATGATGAGTGAGGGAGGAGACAGTAGAGGGTGCATCAACAGACGCCAGAGAAGGTGACTGTATGGAGTGTGACTCTGTTGAGTAACGTGTTTGTCTGGCGCCTGGCTGCTTAGCAGAGGTGAACGAGGAGGAGGAGGAGGGGGAGAGTGTGGACTTTAGGGAGCGGAGCCATGAGGCAGCAGCAGAAGCTGCCGCTGTTGACAGGCTCTTGGATCGCTTGGGTGCAAGGGACGATTTCGTGGGTGTCATGGGTGTACCACTGCTGCTGGTGGTAGCGATTTCCCCGTTTGCGGAGTGCTGCTGCTGAGGCGAGTCAGGAAGGGGCGCCTTGCGCTGCTGACGCGAGCCAAAAAGGGGCGCTCTGTTGGAGGTTTCCCCACTTGGGGACCTGAATACCTTGCTGACGAGGCTGCTGGTCTTAGGATTCGGATATGCAAGGTTGAAGGTGCTTCTGATTGCCTTGCCCGCAGCAGTGTTATCAGCAGCTGCATCAGCAACGGGTGCAGCATCAGTAGCAGCAGAAGCAGCGACAGCATCAGCATCAGCATCGTTAACAGCAGCAAGATCGTTACTGGTAGTAGCACCAGCAGCAGCAGTACCAATGGCAGGATCTGCAGTAGCAGGAAAGTAGAGAGAGGTTGTCTGTGTTGGTTGGAAACGAGGGGAGGACATGCGGATATGGCTCGGGAGACTGCTGCTGGGGGAGAGAGAGGGAGATGAGGGTTTGACTGCCGCCACTGCAGCCAAAACTGCCGCTGCTGCTGCTGTTGCTCCTGCCACCACTGATTCTGCTGGTACTGCTTTCTGCTGGTCGTCGGCAGGAGCACAGAAGATAGCAGCTGTTGGATTCGTGCAATCGGGCTCAGGTCGTGTTTCAGGTGGAGTGTCAGGTTGATTTTCAGATAGGACGTCAGGCTGATTGTCAGGCTGCGCAGTGGTAACCGCAGCGGCAGAGTATGATGCAGTAGGAGCAGCGGGAACAAAATCATTGGCAGCAACGGTAGTAACCTCACTGCTCTCCTCTCTGCTCGCTCCCATCTTCTCCTCCTCCCACGTCGTTCCCAGAAGGGAGATTGAAAAAACACTCTCCTCCTGATCACTTGCCGAGACACCAGTATCTTCATGAGAAGTTTCAGGTGATTCTTCAGGTGCTGGTGGCACTTCTGGTGGTGCTTCGGCTCCTCCTTCAGGTGTTTCTTCAGGTGCTTCTCCCAGTTCTGTTGCTTCAGGTTCTGCTGCTTCAGGTGCCGCTTCAGGTGCTGCTTCCTCGCCACTCACAACAGGGAACAAGAGTGGTGCTGTGCTGATTGTGGTGAAGGATGGTGGGAAGGGGTGGGAGGAGATATGAGTGGCTGCAGATGGGTAGGAGAGAGTGCGTGATGGGGCCTGGACCTGGGAGGAGTGAAGGGTGTGAGAGGAGTAGGGAGTGTGAGAAGAGTAGTGAGTGTGGTGGGTTGAATAGTGAGTGTGGGAGTGGTGCGTATGGGAGGAGTGAGTGTGGGAGGAGTGAGTGTGGGAGGAGTGAGTGTGGGAGGAGGAGCGCCCAAACACACTGGCCTGGTCAGAGGTGGTTTGGATTGAGTGGGTGCGGGGAGGGGAGAAGGAGCGGAGGCGGGAGAGGGGGAGAGAGAGGCAGGAGGAGGAGGCACAGGTGGATGGGGAGAAAGGGGTGGAGGGGAAGGAGAGGGTCTGAGGGGGTGGGGAGGTAGGGGAGTGTGCAGAGGCGGAGGATGGGGAGGGAGGGGCGGAGGAAGGGGAGTGTGGGGCGGAGGAGGGAGGGGCGGAGGAAGGCGAGTGAGGGGCGGAAGAGGGGGAGTGAGGGGCGGAGGATGGGGGATGAGGGTTGGAGGACAAGTCAGGAGAGATGGAGATGTAGTTTGAAAGAGCTTGGGATGTGGCTGCTGTGAGGGAAACATCTCTTGGCAGGGAGGGGTGTGATACCAATGAGGCGGGTGATACTAACGAGGCGTGTGATACCAATGAGGCGGGTGATACTAACGAGGCTTGTGATACTACGGAGGGGGACTGGAGAGCGGAGGAAGGAGAGTGAGGGTCAGAGGACGAATCAGGCGAGATGGATATGGCGTTTGAAAGAGCCTGCGATGTGGCTGCAGTGAGGGAAACATCTGCTGGCAGGGAGACTTGTGACTCTAACGAGGGGGAATGTGACTCTAATGAAGGAGAGTGGAGATCGGAGGAAGGGGAGTGGAGGGCGGAGGAAAATTCAGGAGAGATGGAGATGGCGTCTAAAAGAGCCTGAGATGTGGCTGCCTCCTGAGTCGATCCAGGGGTTGCAACATTTGTCTCCACCTGCGCCGCTGCCCCTTGAGTCGATTCAGACGTTACCACTCTTTCGTCATGAGGGACAAACGGAGCCCAACGAGGTGGCTCTTGAGTGAAACGGACAGCAGCAGCTGCTGAGTTCACTGGTACAGCAGGCGCGGCTGTGGCAGGCGCAACAGCAGTAGCCACAGCTGCAGCAGGCGTGTGAGACAAATCAGAGGCTATCACTCCTCTATTCACACTAGCTAGCTCTTGCGCCGTCCCAGTAGCAGCAGCAGGCAGAACAGCAGTAGTCACAACTGCAGCAGGCGCGTGAGACAAATCAGAGGCTATTCCTCCACCATTCACACTAACTAGCTCTTGTGCCAACCCAGTAGCAGCAGCAGCTGCTGCGTTGACAGCAGTTGGCTCTGCTGTTCCAGAAGCAGCAGCAGCAGATGAGTTGACCAGAACGAGTCTTGCTTTGATTCGCGGCAGCAGCTGCTCCAACCGCTCCACCCTCTCCTCCTCCTCCTCCCACACCTGCTTCCCTCCTCTCTTTGACTCCTCCACTTCACACTCCTCTCTCTGCTCTCCCTCACTCCACACTCGCTCTCTCCCCTTCTCCCCCCTATCCTCTTCCCCTCTCCCCACTTCCTCCCTCTCCAAGTCCCCTCTTCCAACTTCATCCCCTTCTTTTTCCTCAATTCCACTTTCCTCACTCTCTTCTTCCCCTCCCCCCACTTCCTCCCTCACTTCTTCCCCTCTCCCCAATTCCATCCTCTCTTCCTCCCGTCTCCCCACTCCCTCCCCCACTTCCTCCCTCTCCTCCTCCCCTCTCCTCACTTCCATCCCCACTCCCTCCCCCAATCCCTCCCCCAATTCTTGCCTACCCAACTGGGTCCGTATTCGCCGCAAAAGCATGCCTACAAGACCCACCCGCTCCATCACATCCCGTGCCCGCACCATATCCCCTCCACCCGCTCTATCCCCCACAGTCAACCCTGACTTCTCTATTTCGTCCACGCCCATCCCCATCCTTTCTTTCCCCTCCTCTCTCCTCTCCGTCCTCTCCCTGTCCTTCTCTTCGTCCCCTTCCTCCTTCATCCCTCTCACATCCGAACCTGGAAACTCCATTTCTCCATTGCCGTTGGTGTATACACAGTCCTGAGACATCTCAAACCTTCTTTCTGCAGCCTCATATTCCTTTCCTGCTTCATTCCCTGCTTCGGCTCCTCCTCCTCCTGCTGCTCTCCCCGTTCCATCATCAGAAGCACCCTCAGAAGCAAAAGCTTGACAACAGACAACTGATTCATCTTCTCCACCCCCACAAGCCCTCCCAGTCGCCTCAAAAAACACCTGCTCGGTGCTGAAAGGGCTTTCAAACCCCTCCCGAGCTGATTCGAACAAATCCTGGGCAGAAGCACAGTCAGCAGAGCTAGCAAACCCCTCCTGAGTTGACTCAAAGGACCCCTGTTCAGAATTATTGGGACTCTTAGCAACGTCTGCCACTGCATAACCTGCAGTGAGCTGTTCAGCCGCCATTGCCACTGCTGCTGCTGCTGCTTCAGAGTCAGCAGGACTCGCAAGCCCCTCCTGAGTCGACTCAAAAAACACCTCCTGAGTTGGCTCAACAGACCTCCGTTTGAAATAATTGGGGCTCTTAGCACTATCTGCTGCTGCATACCCCGCAGTGCGCTGATCAGCTGCCAGTGGCACTACTGCTGCTGCTGGAGATTCTGCTCCTGCTGCTTCTGCTTCTGCTTCTGTTTCTGCTCCGTCATCTTCCTCGCATTGAATTGTACCCGCTCTTTCAAAAGCTGTAGCCAATGAACAGTCGACTACATCAGCCGTCTCTGCAGTCTGTACTGCGGCTTGTTTGCTCCCAGCTGCGACCGCTGCCTCTGATTCCACCTCAGCCGTTTCGTCTGCCTCGCATTGGAGTATACCCGCGCTTTTAAGTCCTGTTGTCACCAAACATTTGTCTGCATCAGCTGTCTCTACTGCCTCTACTCTCTCAACATCTGACTCTTCTCCCGCTCTTACCTCTGCTACTGTCCCTGACGCTGCCACTCCCTCATGCTGCCTACATAACAGCGACTTCTCTCCCTTTTCCTGCAAAACCTCCTCTTCATCCGCCCTTCTCTCACCCTCCTCATTCTCCTCCACCCCTTCTTCCTCCTTCTCCTCTTCTTCAACCCCCTCCTCTCTCTCACAACCGCCATCCTCCTCCTCCCCATCCTCCCCTTCCTCCCCTCCATCCCCATTCCCACTTCCCTGTCCACCATTCCCCTCTTCATCACCCTCCCCTCCATCACCCTCCTCCCCATCATTCCCCACTCCGCCTGCCCCCTCTGCTCCCCCTCCTCCCCCTGCTCCCCCTTCTCCGCCCTTTCCATTGCTCTCTCCCCTTCCCCCTCTGCCCTCACCTCCCTCTCCTCCCTCCGTCCCACTCCCTTCCCCTGTCCCTTCCCTCTCACCCCCCTCTCTCGTTTCCCCCTCCGTCTCTTCCCACTCCCCACCTCCCTCCTCGTCTTTCCCCTCCAACGCCTGTGAAGGCCCAATCTGGCATCCCCCACGAGCTAGAGACAGGGGCAGCAGTTGCTGAGGCGGTTCAAACGCTTCACCCTGCCTTTGGGATATCTCCCAAGAAGCAACCTCACAACCTCCCCGGGCCATGGCCAGCGGCAGCTGCTGTGGAGATTCAAACAGGTTACCCTGCCGTAGAGATGTCTGCAAAGGAACAACACTGGCGCTCATACCAGGCCCAAGTTCACAGCCTCCGCGCGCCATGGCCAGCGGCAGCTGCTGAAGCGTTTTAAAGGAGGGACTTTGATTCTGTCTTGGCGATGTTTCTAAAGTAGCAGAACCGGATTTTGAGTCGACTCAAAAATCGACTTATCACACACGGATTCGTTCATAGGCCCAAGCTGAGCCTCCCTTTCCCCCCGCGCCATGGCCAGGGGCAGCAACACTACAACTTCTTCACTTGACTCCCTCTCACGCAACCAAGGCGACTGGTGAGCCAACTCCCTCTCCTCCCTGCCCACGCTTCCCACGGCCTCAGACACAGCAGCCGGAGCTGTGGCAAGTGACTCGGCAAGGTGATGGGTGGTGTGCCGGGCGTTGTGGAAGAGGAGGGTGTTTCTCACCCCAGAGTGCTGGTGGGGCAGTGGCAGACCGTTTCTTTTCCGCTTGTGCCCTGTTATGGGCCCGGAGAGAGGGCGGTGAGGGGAAGCTGCGGCTGATGCTACCTCTGATGCTGCTGCCATTGCCACAACAGGTCCAGAGGACGGCCGCCAATGCAGCACTGGACGACCTCCTACTGTAAATGCTGCTGCTGGTACTTCTGGTAGCTCTGGTGTAAGCTCTACAGTTGGTTCTGCTGCTGTCTCGGCTGGTGGCTGTGGGTCTGTTGCTGCAGGCTTTGCTGTTGCCGGCCCTGCTGCCAGCACTGATGCTGCTGCTGATTCTGCTGCTGGTGGTGCTGCTGCCAATGCTGCTGCTACATTTGCTGCTGTTGGCCCTGCTGATCCTGGCTCTGCTGCTGCTACATCTACCAGCGGATCTCCTCCCTTGGACTCCAAGCCCATCTGCCTCTCTTCTTGGTTCAACACAAGAGTCGACTCTACACCCATCTGCCTCTCTTCCCATTTCTCCCGACTAGACGACACGCCAACCCCAGCAGCCCCCAGTAACGCTGTGAGAGTTATTATGTCCAGAATCGGCGAATCACCGCTCGCCAGCTCAGCCTCTCCTTCCATCTCCAGCCATTCGTGCACCAGGCTATGAAGATCCTTACACTCCCCTTTTTCACCCTCCTCCTCCTTCCTCCTCCCCTCCTGTCTAGCCCCACTCCCCTCCTCTCGCTCCTCCCCTTCCTCTCCCTCCTCTTCCTCAATCCGTCCAACCAACCCCTTACTCCTCATTGACCGCTCTCCCCGGCTTCGCTTGCTTCTGCCCCAGCTGCTCCCCTTCCTTCTCCCCATCGAGCCCCCGTTTAAAAGCCTGCTCTCTTGTCGACGGGTCTCACAATCCTGCTGACTGTGCGACTGCTGTAGCGAGACCAGCATCGCAAGCAGATTGTTTCTGTTCCCCACGAAGCCACTCCCTCCAATGCTGCTCCCTCCAATGCTGCTCCCTCCAATGCTTGTTCCCTCACCAGCCCTGCTGCTGCTTGCACCCAAATCATGCCCCGTTCGTTCGTTGCCCAACTCCCCACCGCCCCTGCTCTTGATCTGACTCAACTCCTCCGCACTACCCCTGCTCCTACTACCTCTACCGAACCACCCCCTGCCACTGCCTACGCTCCCAGCCTTGCCTGAGCTCCTGTGGCTACTGTCTGATTTGCCGTCACTTGCATAGCTGTGTCGCCTACCAGCACTCTGTCTGCTGTTTCTGCTGCTGTTGTTTCCGCTGCTGCTCCTGCTGGTGCTGCTGCCATCCTGCCTGCTGCTGCTGCCGCTGCCATTCTGCCCGGTGCTACTCCTGCTTTTGGCAGATCCATTGGTACTGACCCGAGCATGGCTATCCGCTTCCTCACACATCATACCCACCAGAGCCAAGGTAACTTCCATCCTCCGTTCCTCCACACACCCCCGCTCCATAACACCCGCATGCTCACTCATAACATTCCCAGCATCTCTCATCCTCGCTTCCGCCCTTCCTCCTTGCTTCAGAACGTCTCTCTGCCTCAACAGCCCCACGCCCCAGCCGTAACTGGAGGCTTGAGACGCCTCACCACTCGAGCTCGCCCCCCCAAGTTCACTCATATCCTCGCTTCCTCCGTGCTTCAGAGCATCGTCAAGCTTTTGAGGCGCCTCAAAAGTCGCCTCACCACTCGAGCTCGCCCCCCCATGTTCACTCATATCCTCGCTTCCTCCTTGCTTCAGAGCGTCGCCATGCCTCAGCAGCCCCACTCCCCACCCGTAACTGGCTCCTTCTGCTGCAGGCCCGCCCAGAACTCTCTTCCCTGGCGACTTCTTATCTGTTTTCTCGTTTTGTGAAGGGACACATCTGCCAGAGTCACACCTGACAGAGTCACACTCTGCAGTGGCACACCTGGCAGTGTCACACTCAGCAGTGTCCCACCTGCTGCTGCCTCTGAGCCTCAGCGCCCCATGCCATGCGGAGTGGTTCCTCTCTTCATCCAGGGCGTTTGGAGGCAGGCTAAACTCGCTGAAGCTGCTCATCCTGCTGCTGCCCACTGCCATGCCGGACCCTGCCGACCTGCACCCCGCTGTAGCAGCACTGGCAGGAACGCTGCTACAGCCGGAGCCTGCCGACCTGCACCCAGCTGTAGCAGCACTGACGGGAACTCTGCTACAGCCGGAGCCTGCTGCAGCTGCTGCAGGGGCCGGAGCAGGATGGGAGCCCCCTGCTGAGTACGATGCTGCTCTTCGCGTTGCATTAAGAGCGGGAGAAAGGGTCGACGAGGAAGGGCTGTACGGAGTTTTAGAGGATAGAGAGCGGTTTGAGGGCGATATGGGACGGTACAGGGAGAAAGGGCGGTGTAGGGAGGAGTGGGTGGCGGAAGCCGGGGTGTTCAGGAAGGAGTGTGGGAGCGGGTGGGGGGCTGGAGTGGTAAAGCGAGAGGGATAGTTGGAGGACGAAGGGGTGGTTTCAGCAGAGAATGGAGGAAGATGGAAGGGGAAGGGAAAGGGGAAGGGGAACGGGAAAAGGGAAGGATGTGCCGAAGGGGTGGGAGAAAGGGACGGGGATGGGGCAGGGAGGACGGATGCTGTGCTGGTGGCGGTGGCGGTGGCGGTGGTGGTGGTGGTGGTGGTGGTGGTGGCGGCCAAGGGAGGGGAGTGAGTGAGGGGGAGTGTGGAGCAGGAGGAAAGGTGCGATGGTGACATGTACTCTAGAAACTGGCCACCAGCCTTTTCCTCTGCGGACTGGCCACCAGCCTTTTCCTCTGCTTCATCCGCTTCCTCCCTTTCATCCCTTCCGTCTGCTCCATCTGCTTCCTCCCCTTCACCTTTTTCCTCTGCCCCAACCGCTTTCTCCCCTTCAGCACTTTCCCCTGCCCCATCCGCTTCCCCCCTTTCAGCACTTTCCTGTGCCCCATCCACTTTCTCCCCTTCAGCTCTTTCCTCTGCTCCATCCGCTTCCTCTGCTTCAGCCCTTTCAGGAGCCTCAGAAATTTCCTGACAGACAGAACCAGGCGCATTCCTCGCCAATTGTCCCTCCTCCGCCTTTTGAGGCGCCTCAGACGTCGCCTGAGGAATCTCCTGACACACAGAACCAGGCACATTCCTCGCCAATAGTCCCTCCTCCCCCCCAACCCTTTCCCCCGCTCCCTGCCTGTCCCTTTCGCCCCATTGCTCCTTCACCTCCGCTTGTCCTTCCTCGAACCTTTCCACAGAAGAGTCGATTAGCAGCAGCGGCGGCGGCTGCAGCAAAGTGAAAGCACGCTCTCGCTCCCCTCCTCTGAACAAAAACCCTGCTCCAAACCCCCCTTCTCCTACTCCTCCTGCCCCGTCAACTTCTGCTGCGTGACTCATACCCGCCGACCTCACTCTCCGCATTTCTCGAGGGTGCTTCCGGTCCTGATCCGCCGCCCTTGGCCTAGTCTCCACCGCCCCTGCCCTCGTCTCCTCTGCCCTAACAGAAGTTCTCTGCGAAATTCCCGAAACCTCTTCTGCCTTGAAATGAAGTGCGTTGGCTGACTCTATCCGCATCTGCTTTCCTAGCTCCAGGCGTGTGTCGTTCTCACCCTCTATCTGCATCTGCTTTCCCTTCCTTTGCTCCAGACTTGTGTCGTCCTCACCCTCTTTCCCTTTCACTTCCCCCTCACCCTCCGATAGTTTAGCATCCCCTATATGAACAGCCCCACGAAGAACCACAACAAGGTCTACACTCACGGCATCATCACCTTCTCCAGAAGTCCCCTCTATCCGCTTCATACACACTCCCTCCTCCCTCTCCTCTCCCTTTTCCTCTTCCTCTTCCTCCATTTCAATCCCCTCCCCCTCCTCCACCCCTTCCTCCTCCCGTCTTTTCCGCGCCAGCACAGCTTCCAGTGCATCTATTCCCATCAGATAAACCCCTTCACCATCGGACGGCTGAGATTGAGAGGCGCGGCCTACACTATCCTGAGCCAACCGACAAGCAGCCTGAGCCACCTGGGAGTTAGGCGGGTCGCTGGGATGTGAGCCACCGCTTTCAGCTAAGAATCCACCTGCCTCCATCTCTCCTGCTGCTGCCTCTACCCGTGCTGCTGCGTCCATCCCTGCTCTTGACTCTGGCCGTGCCCTTGCCACAGTCCCTCCCACTGCCTCTGTCCCAGCTGTTACCTCTACCCTAGCCGTGGCTTGCTCTGCTCTCTTGCTCAACTTCTCAAGATCAGCCGTCCTGTGTGCTCTATCCTTCTGTCCATGTCCCTCTCTATACACGCCTCTGTGTTCGCGTCCGTGCGACCGTTTCCGCGGTATTAGCTGCCCCTCCGCTGCTCGCTCCCCCTGCTGGGCGCAAGCCATTGTCAGCGCTTGCGCCGCAAGAACCTCGAAGACGCTCTGAGATGGGCTGCTGTGGAAGCCGGGGAATGAAACACGGGAGGAGTGGGGGGGGAAAATGTGAGGGAAAGAAGCACACGTGACGGATGCTGAGGACGGGGGAGTCGGGGTGAGGGTTTGTGTTCACTTCTTTACAAGAAAGGACGTATTCAGGTGTCTTACATGTGAGGTGGCTCCCATTGGGGACACACTCTTCTAGGTTGGAGGTAGCTTGGCGCGCAGTGACCGTACGAGCCCTGAGCTCGCAGTTGAGAGCACCCAGTGACCCCCAAGTTAGGAGGAACGAGACGAAGAGTGGGAGGCACGGAAGGAGACTCGGCAGACAGCGAGCTTCGGAGTTTGCCCAGGTTCGGCAGGCAAGGCGCAGGGTCGTGGGACGGAGAGGGATGGGTCTTGCTGTTGGTTTGCCAAGGCGACGAAAAGCAGTGGAAAAAAACAAACAAACAAAAAGGATGGTGGAGTTATGAATGTCGGAAAACTTATGTGTAAGCAGAAACACCAAGTCGCCACGAATATAGGACGAAGCAAGCTCTAACGAGAAGGAAATCAAGCTACCTACTTTTGGACGTTAACGAGCTGTCGTATAAGAGACGCAAAAGTCGTCTTAGACACATGCCGAGTCAGGTGAATATTAGACGCTGCGTCCTTTTCTTTGCCCTCCTCCGACGACCGTCGAAAGGGCGCGCTTTCGTGACGTCGCGAAGATGTGTCAGTAACATCGTTAATAAGCGGTACTGTAGTCATTGTTAAGTGAGCTTGACAGACGGGCTTCAGGTTAAGTTAAGAGGTAAGAAACTGCGAAGAGCAGTGTAGCCTAGAAGTTGGTTGCATTATTGTTAACGAGCTAAAGCAGTCCTATTATCAGGTTCAGTGGTTAGCGGCGTTAGACGAGTACTCCCGACCTCGAAAGTCGAACTGAACTGATTTGAAATAAGTTAAGCTGAACTGAAAGCGGTTGACGCACCGCTTACGCATGAACGTTAGCGCAAAAGTGCTACAATACTAGGATTCCCAGGCTGCACTGGAAGCTCAAGAAAGTAGCTGGAAACTTATGATACGCCTCCTACAGTGTTTCTAAAACTGACGACTTGGAATCACCCTTGCCATATTTCTCGATCACCTTGCTCGAAATGTCAACCATCTCCTTGCTGTGAGAGTTGTGTCAGGCCAGGAGGAAGAGCAACAGCAACAGTGGTTGCTGCTCACAATTTCGGCCTTCCCTGGAGTTCCCAAGACCAGAAAGGTTCGGAACCTAAAGATTCTCCCAAGAGGTGTTCCGAGCCTGGATCAGGCTTCCAAAGAGGCGCCAAAGCTGTAAAAGGTTCGCGAGGCTGCTTCTGATTCGTTGAGAGGTGATGTTGCGAAAAGTTACCCGAACAAGAGCCCACGGTTGACTGCTGATCGCAGCTGCAACAGACCTGCGCACAGTTGTTGCGAATGAGTAGTGGTTACTCAATTTTCGTGAAAATTTCGCGAATGTCCACTTTGCTCGCATTTGTCGGTCGTGCCGAAATGCCCTCCGAGGATTAGTCGCAACCAGTTCGCGAAGGAACTTGGTCTGTCGTGCGCTCGCACCGAAGAGGGGCAGGCCACGTCGCTGGCTGTGGGTTTGGTCGGAACCAAGCGAAGCGCCCAGGCCTGCACGAGCCGACGACAGGGATGTGGTCTTGGCCATTTGGGCAATTCTGATTCGGAAAAAAATGCTGTACACCTTGTTCGCGCTAAATTGCGCTAAAGGAGTTACAGGATGAAAATAGAAATTAAGAAGCAAAAAATGAGGTGGACATCCATGTATAACTACTCAGCTAGCTCTGCCAACTCAAGCCACCTATCTGACTTCACCTCTATAGCCTGCCCCAGCGCAGCAAGCTCATCGGACAATCCTTGCAGCATCGCAAAATCTCCCGCCTTGCTCTTCTCCTCAAGCTGTGCCTCAACAACCACTTTTTTCTTCTCCAACTTCTCTATCTCCTGCTCCAACCGCTCCCACTCCTTCCTCTCCAAATACGACATTTTTCGAGCCGACTTTCCTTTCGTCTTATTCCCACCCGAACCCGCTCCCTCCTCCCGCTTCCTCTCCACTTCAACCACACTCTTAGCCTCAGCCTCTTTCCTCCTGTCCTCCTCTGCAACCCTCTCCTTCTCCTCCTTTTCCTTCTCCGCCTTTTGCTCCCGCGCGTCAGCAAGGTATTCTGAGAACAGCCCGTCATAGAGCAACACCTGTCCGTCCCCTTGCAGCACAAACTGGCGGTCGACCACCGCATCCATGAATGCACGGTCGTGAGAGGCAACGAGCAGACAGCCCTCGTATGCCGAGAGGAATGACTCGAGAGCCTGCGCAAGGACAGAAGCAGGGGAAGTGGCGGTGGGAACTGGCGGTCGACCACCGCATCCATGAATGCACGGCCGTGAGAGGCCACGAGCAGACAGCCCTCGTATGCCGAGAGGAATGACTCGAGAGCCTGCGCAAGGACAGAAGCAGGGGATGGCGGTGGGAACTGGCGGTCGACCACCGCATCCATGCATGCACGGCCGTGAGAGGCCACAAGCAGACAGCCTTCATGGGATGACAGGAAGGACTCCAGAGCCTGGAGAAGGAGAGAAATATGGGAGGCGGAGGTCGAGGTCTGGAGGTTGAGGTCGTTGGTGGGCTGCTTAAGCGTGCTTAATCTTGGGCCGCTGCGCCAACTCCGCTGTCTTGAACACAGGCACACACTCATTCAGAAACATACTGGCCAACGCCATGCCTAGAAGGCACACCTCAATGGTTTGTAGATCCAGGTCGTTGGTGGGTTCGTCCAGCATGAGGAAGTTGGGTGGCGCTGTGCCAGCACCCAGGCTCACATACAGGTCAAGCGCAGCACACTTGAAACACGACAGACGCACGCACCTCAATGGTTTGTAGATCCAGGTCGTTGGTGGGTTCGTCCAGCATGAGGAAATTGGGTCTCTGCGCCAGCACTGCCGCCAGCAGCAGCCGTCGCTTCTCCCCTCCACTCAACTTGGATGCCCTGATATGCGTGTCGGAGGTGCAATGGTGAGAATGGAGAGGTAGAATGGACAGGTAGAATGGACAGGTAGAATGGACAGGTAGAATGGACAGGTAGAATGGACAGGTAGAATGGACAGGTAGAATGGACAGGTAGAATGGACAGGTAGAATGGACAGGTAGAATGGACAGGTAGAATGAACAGGTAGAATGAACAGGTAGAATGGACAGGTAGAATGGACAGGTAGAATGGACAGGTAGAATGAACAGGTAGAATGGACAGGTAGAATGGACAGGTAGAATGGACAGGTAGAATGGACAGGTAGAATGGACAGGTAGAATGGACAGGTAGAATGGACAGGTAGAATGGACAGGTAGAATGGACAGGTAGAATGGACAGGTAGAATGGACAGGTAGAATGGACAGGTAGAATGGACAGGTAGAATGGACAGGCCGATATGCATGAGGATGCATGTGGAAGTTTGGTCGCCTCATGTGTGTGGGTGTTGGTGGTACAATGGATAGGCAGGGCAGTGACTTATTCAGGCTAAAGACACATTAAGAGGCATGGCAACAACATCAACCTCACCAGGCGTATTTTTGAGGTGCCTAAAAAAAAAGAGAGTCCAGAGGACCTATTCAGGCTAACGACACATCAAGTGGCATGAAGCAATACGCCGCGAGCTAACAACATCAAGCTCACCAGTCGTATTGCTTCGCCTTTTGGGGCGCCTCAAAAGTCGACACATCAAGTGGCATGGCAACAACATCAAGCTCACCAGGCGTATTGCTTCGCCCGCGGAAACCCAAACCGCTCCAGAAGCTCCGAAGCAGAAACAGGCTCGGCCGAACCAGCACCAGCACCAGCAGCAGCAGCAGCAGCACCAGCAGCAGCAGTGGCAGCAGCAGCAGGGATGGAACCCCAGGAGCCGAGAACAGCAGCAGTGGGGTTGAAGTTTTGAACAAAGTCAAGTACTCGCATGTTGTCAGGCACAGGGGGCATGTGCTGTGTGTAATAGCCCATCACCACCGTCTCCCCCACCTCCCTTGTGCCTGAGGGGAGAGGCAGGAGGCCAGCCAATGCGTCTAAGAACTGCGAGGGAGGGAGGGAGGTGGGGACAAGGGAAAGGAAGTATATGCACCCCGGGGAGAGAGCGCAGGGAGGGATCAGCACGGGGGGCATGTGCTGTGTGTCATAGCCCATCACCACTGTCTCCCCCACCTCCCTTGTGCCTGAGGGGAGAGGCAGGAGGCCAGCCAATGCGTCTAAGAACTGCGAGGGAGGGAGGGGGAGGGAGAGGGAGGCGAGGACAGATATTTTTGATGACCCTAAAAGCCGGTATAAAACCGAGAAAAGAGAAGAAAAGAAAAGAAAAGAAGAAGAAGAAACACACACACACACACACACACACACACACACACACACACACACACACACACACACACACACACACACACACACACACACACACACACACACACACACACACACACATTGAGATTGCTGAGATAAAACATAGGAGCTGAGGCTAGCTAAGGTGCTTACGGTGGTTTTCCCTGCCCCGTTTCGCCCAACCACACCCAGCCGATCCCCACGACCAAACTCGTACCTGCATCGTAAGCCGTGGGGAGGGTACGAAGGGGAACGGGGGCAAAAAAGAGGGGGTAGGTATGGGGTTGATGGGGGGGCATTGGGGGGAGATGGGGGAGCATGGGGGTTAATTGGGGGGGAGGATTCAAATTCGGTGCTCCATCCCCTCCTCTCATATCCCTCAGCTCCAATGCGACAGTCATCGAGAGCTGAGACATCTCACAACTTAAAGCCCCATCCCCCCCCCGTCCAGCGTGTGAAGAGACGATTTTTGAGTCGAATAAAAAAAAATCCTCATAGCCCCATTCCCCCTCTCCAGCACTCACGCGAACCTTCCCATCCCCCTTCCCCACCACCCCCTTCCCCCATACTCACGTGAACCCTTCAAACACAGTGTTCTCTCCTCGCATCGCCGTCGCATCCCTCAGCTCCAGCACTTTCCCACCCAGCCGTGCCTCCCCCATACCCATCTCCACCACACTCCCCACCGCCGCCTGCTGCTGCCTTTGCCTCTTCTCCGCCGTCGCTTTAGTAAGCGCCAAAAACCGGTCGATTCTAGACCGGGACTTAGTCGATCTAGCTTTCGGCATTCGCCGCATCCATTCCCCCTCCCGCCGCAGCGTGTTCGCTGCCCGGCCGATCGCGGCGGCTTCTTCGGCTGCCCGCTTCGCCCGGGCAGCCAAAAAGTTTGAGTAGTTGCCCGAATGGCGAAAGGAGTACCCACGGTCTATCTCGAGCATTTGCGTGCAGACGGCGTCTAGAAAGTATCGGTCGTGGGATACGAGGACAACGGTTAGAGAGGGGTCGGAGAGGGCGGACTGCATCCAATCAATGACTGCCACGTCCATGTGGTTGGTGGGCTCCTGAGGAGGGGACGGGAGAAGGGGAAGTGGGTTTCTCTCGAGAAAGTATCGGTCGTGTGAGACGAGAACGGCGGTTAGAGAGGGGTCGGAGAGGGCCGATTGCATCCAATCAATGACTGCCACGTCCATGTGGTTGGTGGGCTCCTGAGGAGGGGACGGGAGAAGGGGAAGTGGGTTTCTCTCGAGAAAGTATCGGTCGTGTGAGACGAGAACGACGGTGAGAGAGGGGTCGGAGAGGGCGGACTGCATCCAATCAATGACTGCCACGTCCATGTGGTTGGTGGGCTCCTGAGGAGGGGACGGGAGAAGGGGAAGTGGGTTTCTCTCGAGAAAGTATCGGTCGTGTGAGACGAGAACGACGGTGAGAGAGGGGTCGGAGAGGGCGGACTGCATCCAATCAATGACTGCCACGTCCATGTGGTTGGTGGGCTCCTGAGGAGGGGACGGGAGAAGGGGAAGTGGGTTTCTCTCGAGAAAGTATCGGTCGTGTGAGACGAGAACGACGGTTAGAGAGGGGTCGGAGAGGGCCGATTGCATCCAATCAATGACTGCCACGTCCATGTGGTTGGTGGGCTCCTGAGGAGGGGACGGGAGAAGGGGAAGTGGGTTTCTCTCGAGAAAGTATCGGTCGTGTGAGACGAGAACGACGGTGAGAGAGGGGTCGGAGAGGGCGGACTGCATCCAATCAATGACTGCCACGTCCATGTGGTTGGTGGGCTCCTGAGGAGGGGACGGGAGAAGGGGAAGTGGGTTTCTCTCGAGAAAGTATCGGTCGTGTGAGACGAGAACGACGGTGAGAGAGGGGTCGGAGAGGGCGGACTGCATCCAATCAATGACTGCCACGTCCATGTGGTTGGTGGGCTCCTGAGGAGGGGACGGGAGAAGGGGAAGTGGGTTTCTCTCGAGAAAGTATCGGTCGTGTGAGACGAGAACGACGGTGAGAGAGGGGTCGGAGAGGGCGGACTGCATCCAATCAATGACTGCCACGTCCATGTGGTTGGTGGGCTCCTGAGGAGGGGACGGGAGAAGGGGAAGTGGGTTTCTCTCGAGAAAGTATCGGTCGTGTGAGACGAGAACGACGGTGAGAGAGGGGTCGGAGAGGGCCGATTGCATCCAATCAATGACTGCCACGTCCATGTGGTTGGTGGGCTCCTGAGGAGGGGACGGGAGAAGGGGAAGTGGGTTTCTCTCGAGAAAGTATCGGTCGTGTGAGACGAGAACGACGGTGAGAGAGGGGTCGGAGAGGGCGGACTGCATCCAATCAATGACTGCCACGTCCATGTGGTTGGTGGGCTCCTGAGGAGGGGACGGGAGAAGGGGAAGTGGGTTTCTCTCGAGAAAGTATCGGTCGTGTGAGACGAGAACGACGGTGAGAGAGGGGTCGGAGAGGGCGGACTGCATCCAATCAATGACTGCCACGTCCATGTGGTTGGTGGGCTCCTGAGGAGGGGACGGGAGAAGGGGAAGTGGGTTTCTCTCGAGAAAGTATCGGTCGTGTGAGACGAGAACGACGGTGAGAGAGGGGTCGGAGAGGGCGGACTGCATCCAATCAATGACTGCCACGTCCATGTGGTTGGTGGGCTCCTGAGGAGGGGACGGGAGAAGGGGAAGTGGGTTTCTCTCGAGAAAGTATCGGTCGTGTGAGACGAGAACGACGGTGAGAGAGGGGTCGGAGAGGGCGGACTGCATCCAATCAATGACTGCCACGTCCATGTGGTTGGTGGGCTCCTGAGGAGGGGACGGGAGAAGGGGAAGTGGGTTTCTCTCGAGAAAGTATCGGTCGTGTGAGACGAGAACGACGGTGAGAGAGGGGTCGGAGAGGGCGGACTGCATCCAATCAATGACTGCCACGTCCATGTGGTTGGTGGGCTCCTGAGGAGGGGACGGGAGAAGGGGAAGTGGGTTTCTCTCGAGAAAGTATCGGTCGTGTGAGACGAGAACGACGGTGAGAGAGGGGTCGGAGAGGGCCGATTGCATCCAATCAATGACTGCCACGTCCATGTGGTTGGTGGGCTCCTGAGGAGGGGACGGGAGAAGGGGAAGTGGGTTTCTCTCGAGAAAGTATCGGTCGTGTGAGACGAGAACGACGGTGAGAGAGGGGTCGGAGAGGGCGGACTGCATCCAATCAATGACTGCCACGTCCATGTGGTTGGTGGGCTCCTGAGGAGGGGACGGGAGAAGGGGAAGTGGGTTTCTCTCGAGAAAGTATCGGTCGTGTGAGACGAGAACGACGGTGAGAGAGGGGTCGGAGAGGGCGGACTGCATCCAATCAATGACTGCCACGTCCATGTGGTTGGTGGGCTCCTGAGGAGGGGACGGGAGAAGGGGAAGTGGGTTTCTCTCGAGAAAGTATCGGTCGTGTGAGACGAGAACGACGGTGAGAGAGGGGTCGGAGAGGGCGGACTGCATCCAATCAATGACTGCCACGTCCATGTGGTTGGTGGGCTCCTGAGGAGGGGACGGGAGAAGGGGAAGTGGGTTTCTCTCGAGAAAGTATCGGTCGTGTGAGACGAGAACGACGGTGAGAGAGGGGTCGGAGAGGGCCGATTGCATCCAATCAATGACTGCCACGTCCATGTGGTTGGTGGGCTCCTGAGGAGGGGACGGGAGAAGGGGAAGTGGGTTTCTCTCGAGAAAGTATCGGTCGTGTGAGACGAGAACGACGGTGAGAGAGGGGTCGGAGAGGGCGGACTGCATCCAATCAATGACTGCCACGTCCATGTGGTTGGTGGGCTCCTGAGGAGGGGACGGGAGAAGGGGAAGTGGGTTTCTCTCGAGAAAGTATCGGTCGTGTGAGACGAGAACGACGGTGAGAGAGGGGTCGGAGAGGGCGGACTGCATCCAATCAATGACTGCCACGTCCATGTGGTTGGTGGGCTCCTGGTGAGTGGGAGAAGGAGAGGCATGTGGTTTTCCCCTTCAGCTTTAGGGTTAGAATTGAGGAGTGGAATATGAGTTGAGAGCGAGAGATGAAGAAGTCGACGAGAGAGGGGTCTGAGAGGCCGGATTGAATCCAATCAATGACTGCCACGTCCATGTGGTTGGTGGGCTCCTGGTGAGAGGGACGAGAAAGAGTAGCGGAGTGACAAGCGGGGAGTGAAGGAGTAGCAGTGGGAGAGAAAGAGAGGAAAACGACTGGGTGACATCCTGGTGTGGGGATTCTTGAATAACTGTTGCGTGAATTTTACTTTTGAGAATTCTCATTTACTTTTGAGAATTCTCCTTTACTTTTGAGAATTCTCAAAAGTAAAATTCACGAGTGGGTGACATCCTGATGTGATGTGGTGATTGTTGAATAACTGTTGTAAGGAGGATACCCATGATCGGACAGGGAGAGGCGGAGAGGCAGAGGCACTCACATCGAGAATGATCAGATCAGCTCTGGCTTCGCCAGCAGCATCGCAGCCAGAGCCACTCGATTCCTCTGCCCCCCTCTCTCCCTCAATCCCTCTCTTCCTGACTCACATCGACCAAGTCACTCACATCGAGAATGATTAGCTCTGGTTTTGCCAGCAGCGTCGCAGCCAGAGCCACCCGCTTCCTCTGCCCGCCACTAAGCGACGAAACTTGCCGCTCCATAATCCCCCCCCCACCACCACCACCACCGTTGCTCAAAGCAGCGTCCCCCAGCCCAAGGATCTCCAGCAGCTTCTCTGCCTCTGCCACCACGTCCCATGCCCCCATGGCCTCCACCCCATCCATTGCCCGCTGCAGCGCTGCTGCCTCTGCCGGGGTGGGGTCTGGATGGGAGCACAGGCGGGGGTGAAGGGGTTTGGCGTTAGGGTTTGGGGTGTAAGGGCCTAGTTGTGAGCTTCTCCGCCTCTGCCACCACGTCCCATGCCCCCCCCCATCGCTTCCACCCCATCCATTGCCCGCTGCAGCGCTGCTGGCACGGCCAGCCAATGGCCCTTTTGAGACGTCTCAAAACTTGTAATCACTCACAGCACGCATGGCTGTGTTGTCTGCTGACACCACGGCCAGCCAATGGCCCTTCCCCTTGCCCCTGCTCTCATCCCCTTTATGAAGCACCCCACAACAACATATTGTGATTAGACACTCACCTCTGCCCTTCATCCTCTGTGCCGCTTGCTCGTACTCCCTCACAGCGCGCATGGCAGCATTGTCCGCTGACAGCCCTCCCTCTCAACCATCCCCTTTATAAGGAGACTCGCAACACACACGCACCTCTGCCCTTCATCCTCTGCGCAGCTCGCTCGTACTCCCTCACAGCGCGCATGACAGCATTGTCCACTCCCATTACCCCCTGCTTTCATCCCCTTTATACAGCACCCCGAAACAACATACTGCATTCTCACCTCTGCCCTTCATCCTCTGCGCAGCTCGCTCGTACTCCCTAACAGCGCGCATGGCAGCATTGTCCGCTGACAGCACTGCGTCTAGCAGAGACAGTGACGGGGGCAGGTCCGGGTCCTGTTTAGGTTTCGGGGTTCGGGGTTCGGAGTTCGGGGTTTGGGGTTTCGGGTTTGGGGTTTGGAGGTTAGGCTTAAGGGAGGGCGTTGGAAAGCATTGACAGCACTACGTTCAGAACACACAGTTAAGCGGGCATGTCCGGATGCTGGGAGTTTCGAATGTTTGTGCGCCTAAGAATAGAGCAGCTAAGGTTGGTTGGAAGTGTGGTTTTTGTTGAATTCACCTGAGCGAGAAACGCCAAGTTCAGGTTCCGCCGGCGCTGCACCTTGCCCTGATCAGGCGCGTCCATCCCCGCTAGTATCCTCAGCAATGTGCTTTTACCGCATCCGTTCCGCCCCAGCAGCCCCAGCTTCTGCCCTCTGCTTATAGTCACATCCAACCCCTCGAAAAGAACGTCCATTCCGAAGCTCTTCGCCAGCCCTTCCCCCGTTATAAGCGCCTCCCCGCCTCCGCTCGCGCCGGGCCTAGGCGCAGCGGGCGCGGAAGCGGGGGAGGCGGAAGTCCCCCCAGGGGCATTTGACGTTGCGGCAGTTGTGATCCGGCGGGGGCGCGATTGGCTACGAGTTTGGAGGATGCGCGGAGCGGAATGGGGGGAAGCGGAACTGGGGGAGACGGAACAGGGGGAAGCGGAAGGAGAAGCAGGGGACGCGCACATTCCCCCGGCTGCGCCTGGCGTCGCGGCGGTTACAGTCCGGCTAGAGCAGGAGCGCCTGTTTCCGGAATACCAGGGACCATTTCGCAGCGGCAGCGGCAGCGGCAGTGGCGCTAAGACGAGGCTGCGACTCGACATGAGGCTACTATTTGAAGTAATAAATTGTGCGGAGGTTCGAGAAATGAGTGTACCAGGCTGACGCTCCGAGCGAATGCAGAGGGACGGTGGCGATATGGAGCAATTATGGCAGGGAGATAATTGCGACAGGTGGGTGTAGAGAGGCATGGCGTAGTTATTCGCTACTAGTGTCAATAGCCAGCCGTACACCTATAGTGGTCCGCTGTCCGGATACTGGCTGGCTGGGGATTACTGAAAAGACTCGACTTGGAATACCTCTGTGCTGTGATTATGAGGTGATGAAGATATGGGAGTCGTATATGTGTTTGGATGGCATAGATGGTAGTAACATTTAGCAGACGTGATGTGATGTTTTTGCCGTTTGAAGGCGAATTTGAACGGATGAACGTTATAACGCGGATAGCCATGTCACCATAGTCAATACCACCAATCAGAAGCGTCCCCAAGATCTGATGGCCCACACTTTGTTGCTGACATGGTTACCAGTTTCATCACGCCGCAATTGCTCCGTCAACGCCTGCTGAAGCTGTTCCCTGGATTTTGTCATCGACGCTGACAAACCATGCCTTGCACTGTACACTGTACACATTCTTTTCCCCCAAGCTACCAGACTTCCGAACCAGGCTGTGGGACCACCACCCGGACCAGGTCAAACGTGCCTTCGATGTTGTCGAGTTCTGCCGAACCCGCAGGGCACCTAGGGTTTCTCCTGAAATGTACCCGTTTAGCCAACAACCATGTGTACCCGTTTCTTCCGAAGCAAAAGCCATAGCTCCTCCGAGCCTTGGGTTTCCCATCTGCCCTCACTTCCGCTGCTTCGCAGCCCGACCATTCACTGCATATGCTTGCTTGCTTCCCATTCGTCCTTCTCGTCAGTCCGTTACTTTCAAGATGCACCTGAATTATTGACCCTAGGTTTCTAAGAACTGCCGTATAGCCTCGAGCTTTTCGTGAGTGAGCGAATCTCGTAATTCTGTAGGCTAGTTTGTGGGACTCTCTCTCTGACGCGCGCTATTGATGGTGGTGTAAAATAAGCACCCTTTCCTGATATCGCTTAGAATGCGGAAATAAATAAGACAGGAAGTAAGAAGTGGCTACTCGCAGCCGTAGGTCGTCTTGGAGAAGTGGCTCCATAACCCAGCTGTTAACTACTGAATCCAATATTTCGTTATTGATGGAAGGAGTGATTCTCTCATGGAATCTGTGGTTCAGGAGGACGAGATTGACACTAAGCTTCGTAGACTCGACTTTCATAGACTCGATATAAGATTAATTGAATTTTTAAGGGGTCATTGCCCCATGGATTTCCGGAAGACTGGATTGGCAATTATTATTATTTGGTTGACTAGAAAGTTTCGTTAGTTTCTCAACGAGTCGTTTCCCCAGGGAGTCCGTCATTATGGAGGACGAGATTTACTATTATTATTATTCAGTCGAAGAATAAAGTCGCTAGCTTCTCAAGGAGTCAGTTTCCCCATGGAGACCGTCATTCTGGAGGAGGAGGTTGACGAGAATTATGAGCCGACGGAAGAAGGTACTTCGGCTGGCTTTTTTTTCTTTAACGTTGGTCCTCGTCGTTATCTCACGACGCACCCGCCTAGCCATGTCCTGTCAACTCTTGCCGAGCCAAGCATTTTCTAGGACGAAAGTATCAATTTTTTGCACGTATTACCGCGTTTCACGAATGCTTGGTCGTGTGGTAAGTTCGACTGGGACAAGATTCCCTGACACACGTCGTGGATGCCAGGACGTGCTCTACTTGGATTCGCCGGCTTTTTTTTATTCGTTCGACATTCCTCCTGAATCTCTTACCACTCCGTTTGGATTCCTTACCGTTCCTCCTGTTCCTGACCGTTTTGATCCCCTTGCCGTCCTCCTATTTTTTTACCGTTCCTCCTGGATTCCTGACCGTTTTGAATTCCTGACCGTTCCCCCTGGATTGCTGACCGTTCCGTTTGGATTCCTGACCGTCCTGGATTCCTGACCGTCCTGGATTCCTAACCGCTCCTCTTCTCCACTCCTCCTCTGCTCCCATGCCCTTTTGGCCCTCTCTTTTCTGACCCTCTGGCGCTCTCCGCTCAGAAGTTCTCGAGTACGCGCGGTGGCTGGGAATGGAGCTTCCGGGGGAGAAAGAGCTGTTGTTGGTAGCCCATCCCCTGACTGACCCCTTTCCATCCGACTCCCTTCCCCTGCGTCCCTCATGCTCTGCTCTCTTACCCTCTTGCGTTCCATTCTCAGAGATTCTCGAGTACGCGCGGTGGCTGGAATGGAGCTTCCGGGGGAGGAGGAGCTGCTGTGGGTGGCCCATCCCCTGACTGACCCCTTTCCATCCGACTCCCTTCCCCTGCGTCCCTCATGCTCTGCTCTCTTACCCTCTTGCGGTCCATTCTCAGAGATTCTTGAGTACGCGCGGTGGCTGGGAATGGAGCTTCCGGGGGAGAAAGAGCTGTTGTAGGTGGCCCATCCCCTGACTGACCCCTTTCCATCCGACTCCCTTCCCCTGCACCCCTCATGCTCTGCTCTCTTACCCTCTTGCGGTCCATTCTCAGAGATTCTTGAGTACGCGCGGTGGCTGGGAATGGAGCTTCCGGGGGAGAAAGAGCTGTTGTAGGTGGCCCATCCCCTGACTGACCCCTTTCCATCCGACTCCCTTCCCCTGCACCCCTCATGCTCTGCTCTCTTACCCTCTTGCGGTCCATTCTCAGAGATTCTCGAGTACGCGCGGTGGCTGGGAATGGAGCTTCCGGGGGAGGAGGAGCTGCTGTAGGTGGCCCATCCCCTGACTGACCCCTTTCCATCCGACTCCCTTCCCCTGCACCCCTCATACTCTGCTCTCTTACCCTCTTGCGGTCCATTCTCAGAGATTCTTGAGTACGCGCGGTGGCTGGGAATGGAGCTTCCGGGGGAGGAGGAGCTGCTGTGGGTGGCGCGGCAGGGGCTCAAGTCGCCTCTACCGCCCAACTGGAAGCCCTGGTGAGTGCTTCCAGCTTTCGGCAGTGCTTCTGCTGGTGATACTGACGGTGGTGGTGGTGGTGCTGCTGCTGCTGCTGCCTACCCCACCCTCGCCCCTAGCCCCTAGCCCCACCTGCCCACAATGCCAGTGGCACGGAGGATGGGGAGATGTACTATTTCAACTTCCAGACGGGCGAGAGCGCGTGGGAGGTGTGATGGTATGCTAGGGCTGTTCTTCCAGACGGGCGAGAGCGCGTGGGAGGTGTGATGGTATGCTAGGGCTGTTCTTCCAGACGGGCGAGAGCGCGTGGGAGGTGTGATGGTATGCTAGGGCTGTTCTTCCAGACGGGCGAGAGCGCGTGGGAGGTGTGATGGTATGCTAGGGCTGTTCTTCCAGACGGGCGAGAGCGCGTGGGAGGTGTGATGGTATGCTAGGGCTGTTCTTCCAGACGGGCGAGAGCGCGTGGGAGGTGTGATGGTATGCTAGGGCTGTTCTTCCAGACGGGCGAGAGCGCGTGGGAGGTGTGATGGTATGCTAGGGCTGTTCTTCCAGACGGGCGAGAGCGCGTGGGAGGTGTGATGGTATGCTAGGGCTGTTCTTCCAGACGGGCGAGAGCGCGTGGGAGGTGTGATGGTATGCTAGGGCTGTTCTTCCAGACGGGCGAGAGCGCGTGGGAGGTGTGATGGTATGCTAGGGCTGTTCTTCCAGACGGGCGAGAGCGCGTGGGAGGTGTGATGGTATGCTAGGGCTGTTCTTCCAGACGGGCGAGAGCGCGTGGGAGGTGTGATGGTATGCTAGGGCTGTTCTTCCAGACGGGCGAGAGCGCGTGGGAGGTGTGATGGTATGCTAGGGCTGTTCTTCCAGACGGGCGAGAGCGCGTGGGAGGTGTGATGGTATGCTAGGGCTGTTCTTCCAGACGGACGGGGAGATTTACTATTTCAACTTCCAGACGGGCGAGAGCGCGTGGGAGGTGTGATGGTATGCTAGGGCTGTTCTTCCAGACGGACGGGGAGATTTACTATTTCAACTTCCAGACGGGCGAGAGCGCGTGGGAGGTGTGATGGTATGCTAGGGCTGTTCTTCCAGACGGACGGGGAGATTTACTATTTCAACTTCCAGACGGGCGAGAGCGCGTGGGAGGTGTGATGGTATGCTAGGGCTGTTCTTCCAGACGGGCGAGAGCGCGTGGGAGGTGTGATGGTATGCTAGGGCTGTTCTTCCAGACGGGCGAGAGCGCGTGGGAGGTGTGATGGTATGCTAGGGCTGTTCTTCCAGACGGGCGAGAGCGCGTGGGAGGTGTGATGGTATGCTAGGGCTGTTCTTCCAGACGGGCGAGAGCGCGTGGGAGGTGTGATGGTATGCTAGGGCTGTTCTTCCAGACGGACGGGGAGATTTACTATTTCAACTTCCAGACGGGCGAGAGCGCGTGGGAGGTGTGATGGTATGCTAGGGCTGTTCTTCCAGACGGGCGAGAGCGCGTGGGAGGTGTGATGGTATGCTAGGGCTGTTCTTCCAGACGGGCGAGAGCGCGTGGGAGGTGTGATGGTATGCTAGGGCTGTTCTTCCAGACGGGCGAGAGCGCGTGGGAGGTGTGATGGTATGCTAGGGCTGTTCTTCCAGACGGGCGAGAGCGCGAGGGAGGTGTGATGGTATGCTAGGGCTGTTCTTCCAGACGGGCGAGAGCGCGTGGGAGGTGTGATGGTATGCTAGGGCTGTTCTTCCAGACGGGCGAGAGCGCGTGGGAGGTGTGATGGTATGCTAGGGCTGTTCTTCCAGACGGGCGAGAGCGCGTGGGAGGTGTGATGGTATGCTAGGGCTGTTCTTCCAGACGGGCGAGAGCGCGAGGGAGGTGTGATGGTATGCTAGGGCTGTTCTTCCAGACGGGCGAGAGCGCGTGGGAGGTGTGATGGTATGCTAGGGCTGTTCTTCCAGACGGGCGAGAGCGCGTGGGAGGTGTGATGGTATGCTAGGGCTGTTCTTCCAGACGGACGGGGAGATTTACTATTTCAACTTCCAGACGGGCGAGAGCGCGTGGGAGGTGTGATGGTATGCTAGGGCTGTTCTTCCAGACAGGCGAGAGCGCGTGGGAGGTGTGATGGTATGCTAGGGCTGTTCTTCCAGACGGGCGAGAGCGCGTGGGAGGTGTGATGGTATGCTAGGGCTGTTCTTCCAGACGGACGGGGAGATTTACTATTTCAACTTCCAGACGGGCGAGAGCGCGTGGGAGGTGTGATGGTATGCTAGGGCTGTTCTTCCAGACGGGCGAGAGCGCGTGGGAGGTGTGATGGTATGCTAGGGCTGTTCTTCCAGACGGGCGAGAGCGCGTGGGAGGTGTGATGGTATGCTAGGGCTGTTCTTCCAGACGGGCGAGAGCGCGTGGGAGGTGTGATGGTATGCTAGGGCTGTTCTTCCAGACGGGCGAGAGCGCGTGGGAGGTGTGATGGTATGCTAGGGCTGTTCTTCCAGACGGGCGAGAGCGCGTGGGGGTGTGATGGTATGCTAGGGCTGTTCTTCCAGACGGGCGAGAGCGCGTGGGAGGTGTGATGGTATGCTAGGGCTGTTCTTCCAGACGGGCGAGAGCGCGTGGGAGGTGTGATGGTATGCTAGGGCTGTTCTTCCAGACGGGCGAGAGCGCGTGGGAGGTGTGATGGTATGCTAGGGCTGTTCTTCCAGACGGGCGAGAGCGCGTGGGAGGTGTGATGGTATGCTAGGGCTGTTCTTCCAGACGGGCGAGAGCGCGTGGGAGGTGTGATGGTATGCTAGGGCTGTTCTTCCAGACGGGCGAGAGCGCGTGGGAGGTGTGATGGTATGCTAGGGCTGTTCTTCCAGACGGGCGAGAGCGCGTGGGAGGTGTGATGGTATGCTAGGGCTGTTCTTCCAGACGGGCGAGAGCGCGTGGGAGGTGTGATGGTATGCTAGGGCTGTTCTTCCAGACGGACGGGGAGATTTACTATTTCAACTTCCAGACGGGCGAGAGCGCGTGGGAGGTGTGATGGTATGCTAGGGCTGTTCTTCCAGACGGACGGGGAGATTTACTATTTCAACTTCCAGACGGGCGAGAGCGTGTGGGAGGTGTGATGGTATGCTAGGGCTGTTCTTCCAGACGGACGGGGAGATTTACTATTTCAACTTCCAGACGGGCGAGAGCGCGTGGGAGGTGTGATGGTATGCTAAGGCTGTTCTTCCAGACGGACGGGGAGATTTACTATTTCAACTTCCAGACGGGCGAGAGCGCGTGGGAGGTGTGATGGTATGCTAGGGCTGTTCTTCCAGACGGGCGAGAGCGCGTGGGAGGTGTGATGGTATGCTAGGGCTGTTCTTCCAGACGGGCGAGAGCGCGTGGGAGGTGTGATGGTATGCTAGGGCTGTTCTTCCAGACGGGCGAGAGCGCGTGGGAGGTGTGATGGTATGCTAGGGCTGTTCTTCCAGACGGGCGAGAGCGCGTGGGAGGTGTGATGGTATGCTAGGGCTGTTCTTCCAGACGGACGGGGAGATTTACTATTTCAACTTCCAGACGGGCGAGAGCGCGTGGGAGGTGTGATGGTATGCTAGGGCTGTTCTTCCAGACGGACGGGGAGATTTACTATTTCAACTTCCAGACGGGCGAGAGCGCGTGGGAGGTGTGATGGTATGCTAGGGCTGTTCTTCCAGACGGACGGGGAGATTTACTATTTCAACTTCCAGACGGGCGAGAGCGCGTGGGAGGTGTGATGGTATGCTAGGGCTGTTCTTCCAGACGGACGGGGAGATTTACTATTTCAACTTCCAGACGGGCGAGAGCGCGTGGGAGGTGTGATGGTATGCTAGGGCTGTTCTTCCAGACGGACGGGGAGATTTACTATTTCAACTTCCAGACGGGCGAGAGCGCGTGGGAGGTGTGATGGTATGCTAGGGCTGTTCTTCCAGACGGACGGGGAGATTTACTATTTCAACTTCCAGACGGGCGAGAGCGCGTGGGAGGTGTGATGGTATGCTAGGGCTGTTCTTCCAGACGGACGGGGAGATTTACTATTTCAACTTCCAGACGGGCGAGAGCGCGTGGGAGGTGTGATGGTATGCTAGGGCTGTTCTTCCAGACGGACGGGGAGATTTACTATTTCAACTTCCAGACGGGCGAGAGCGCGTGGGAGGTGTGATGGTATGCTAGGGCTGTTCTTCCAGACGGACGGGGAGATTTACTATTTCAACTTCCAGACGGGCGAGAGCGCGTGGGAGGTGTGATGGTATGCTAGGGCTGTTCTTCCAGACGGACGGGGAGATTTACTATTTCAACTTCCAGACGGGCGAGAGCGCGTGGGAGGTGTGAGGGTATGCTAGGGCTGTTCTTCCAGACGGACGGGGAGATTTACTATTTCAACTTCCAGACGGGCGAGAGCGCGTGGGAGGTGTGATGGTATGCTAGGGCTGTTCTTCCAGACGGACGGGGAGATTTACTATTTCAACTTCCAGACGGGCGAGAGCGCGTGGGAGGTGTGATGGTATGCTAGGGCTGTTCTTCCAGACGGACGGGGAGATTTACTATTTCAACTTCCAGACGGGCGAGAGCGCGTGGGAGGTGTGATGGTATGCTAGGGCTGTTCTTCAAGACGGACGGGGAGATTTACTATTTCAACTTCCAGACGGGCGAGAGCGCGTGGGAGGTGTGATGGTATGCTAGGGCTGTTCTTCCAGACGGACGGGGAGATTTACTATTTCAACTTCCAGACGGGCGAGAGCGCGTGGGAGGTGTGATGGTATGCTAGGGCTGTTCTTCCAGACGGACGGGGAGATTTACTATTTCAACTTCCAGACGGGCGAGAGCGCGTGGGAGGTGTGATGGTATGCTAGGGCTGTTCTTCCAGACGGACGGGGAGATTTACTATTTCAACTTCCAGACGGGCGAGAGCGCGTGGGAGGTTTGATGGTATGCTAGGGCTGTTCTTCCAGACGGACGGGGAGATTTACTATTTCAACTTCCAGACGGGCGAGAGCGCGTGGGAGGTGTGATGGTATGCTAGGGCTGTTCTTCCAGACGGACGGGGAGATTTACTATTTCAACTTCCAGACGGGCGAGAGCGCGTGGGAGGTGTGATGGTATGCTAGGGCTGTTCTTCAAGACGGACGGGGAGATTTACTATTTCAACTTCCAGACGGGCGAGAGCGCGTGGGAGGTGTGATGGTATGCTAGGGCTGTTCTTCCAGACGGACGGGGAGATTTACTATTTCAACTTCCAGACGGGCGAGAGCGCGTGGGAGGTGTGATGGTATGCTAGGGCTGTTCTTCCAGACGGACGGGGAGATTTACTATTTCAACTTCCAGACGGGCGAGAGCGCGTGGGAGGTGTGATGGTATGCTAGGGCTGTTCTTCCAGACGGACGGGGAGATTTACTATTTCAACTTCCAGACGGGCGAGAGCGCGTGGGAGGTTTGATGGTATGCTAGGGCTGTTCTTCCAGACGGACGGGGAGATTTACTATTTCAACTTCTAGACGGGCGAGAGCGCGTGGGAGGTGTGATGGTATGCTAGGGCTGTTCTTCCAGACGGACGGGGAGATTTACTATTTCAACTTCCAGACGGGCGAGAGCGCGTGGGAGGTGTGATGGTATGCTAGGGCTGTTCTTCCAGACGGACGGGGAGATTTACTATTTCAACTTCCAGACGGGCGAGAGCGCGTGGGAGGTGTGATGGTATGCTAGGGCTGTTTTTTAGACGGACGGGGAGATTTACTATTTCAACTTCCAGACGGGCGAGAGCGCGTGGGAGGTGTGATGGTATGCTAGGGCTGTTCTTCCAGACGGACGGGGAGATTTACTATTTCAACTTCCAGACGGGCGAGAGCGCGTGGGAGGTGTGATGGTATGCTAGGGCTGTTCTTCCAGACGGACGGGGAGATTAACTATTTCAACTTCCAGACGGGCGAGAGCGCGTGGGAGGTGTGATGGTATGCTAGGGCTGTTCTTCCAGACGGACGGGGAGATTTACTATTTCAACTTCCAGACGGGCGAGAGCGCGTGGGAGGTGTGATGGTATGCTAGGGCTGTTCTTCCAGACGGGCGAGAGCGCGTGGGAGGTGTGATGGTATGCTAGGGCTGTTCTTCCAGACGGGCGAGAGCGCGTGGGAGGTGTGATGGTATGCTAGGGCTGTTCTTCCAGACGGGCGAGAGCGCGTGGGAGGTGTGATGGTATGCTAGGGCTGTTCTTCCAGACGGACGGGGAGATTTACTATTTCAACTTCCAGACGGGCGAGAGCGCGTGGGAGGTGTGATGGTATGCTAGGGCTGTTCTTCCAGACGGACGGGGAGATTTACTATTTCAACTTCCAGACGGGCGAGAGCGCGTGGGAGGTGTGATGGTATGCTAGGGCTGTTCTTCCAGACGGACGGGGAGATTTACTATTTCAACTTCCAGACGGGCGAGAGCGCGTGGGAGGTGTGATGGTATGCTAGGGCTGCTCTTCCAGACGGACGGGGAGATTTACTATTTCAACTTCCAGACGGGCGAGAGCGCGTGGGAGGTGTGATGGTATGCTAGGGCTGTTCTTCCAGACGGGCGAGAGCGCGTGGGAGGTGTGATGGTATGCTAGGGCTGTTCTTCCAGACGGGCGAGAGCGCGTGGGAGGTGTGATGGTATGCTAGGGCTGTTCTTCCAGACGGACGGGGAGATTTACTATTTCAACTTCCAGACGGGCGAGAGCGCGTGGGAGGTGTGATGGTATGCTAGGGCTGTTCTTCCAGACGGACGGGGAGATTTACTATTTCAACTTCCAGACGGGCGAGAGCGCGTGGGAGGTGTGATGGTATGCTAGGGCTGTTCTTCCAGACGGACGGGGAGATTTACTATTTCAACTTCCAGACGGGCGAGAGCGCGTGGGAGGTGTGATGGTATGCTAGGGCTGTTCTTCCAGACGGGCGAGAGCGCGTGGGAGGTGTGATGGTATGCTAGGGCTGTTCTTCCAGACGGGCGAGAGCGCGTGGGAGGTGTGATGGTATGCTAGGGCTGTTCTTCCAGGCGGGCGAGAGCGCGTGGGAGGTGTGATGGTATGCTAGGGCTGTTCTTCCAGACGGGCGAGAGCGCGTGGGAGGTGTGATGGTATGCTAGGGCTGTTCTTCCAGACGGGCGAGAGCGCGTGGGAGGTGTGATGGTATGCTAGGGCTGTTCTTCCAGACGGGCGAGAGCGCGTGGGAGGTGTGATGGTATGCTAGGGCTGTTCTTCCAGACGGGCGAGAGCGCGTGGGAGGTGTGATGGTATGCTAGGGCTGTTCTTCCAGACGGGCGAGAGCGCGTGGGAGGTGTGATGGTATGCTAGGGCTGTTCTTCCAGACGGGCGAGAGCGCGTGGGAGGTGTGATGGTATGCTAGGGCTGTTCTCCCAACCCCTTTCCACTCACTCCCACCTCTTCTCCCACCGTCTCCCCTCTCCATCCTTCACCAGTGCCACGGAGGACGGGGAGATTTACTATTTCAACTTCCAGACGGGCGAGAGCGTGTGGGAGGTGTGATGGTATGCTAGGGCTGTTCTCCCAACCCCGTTCCACTCACTCCCACCTCTTCTCCCACCGTCTCCCCTCTCCATCCTTCACCAGTGCCACGGAGGACGGGGAGATTTACTAATTCAACTTCCAGACGGGCGAGAGCGTGTGGGAGGTGTGATGGTATGCTAGGGCTGTTCTCCCAACCCCGTTCCACTCACTCCCACCTCTTCTCCCACCGTCTCCCCTCTCCATCCTTCACCAGTGCCACGGAGGACGGGGAGATTTACTATTTCAACTTCCAGACGGGCGAAAGCGTGTGGGAGCACCCCTGCGACGACCACTACCGCGCCGTCTACCAGCAGAAGAAGGCTAGGCTGCTGCTCGCCCGCTCCCCTCCCCCCCTGCTGCTGCTGCTGCTGCTGGTGCCGCTGCTGCTGCTGCTGCCTCACGCTCTCCCTTCCCCTCCCCCATCCCTACCCGCCCCCTACCAGTGGCACGGAGGACGGCGAGATTTACTATTTCAACTTCCAGACGGGCGAGAGCGTGTGGGAGCACCCCTGCGACGACCACTACCGCGCCGTCTACCAGCAGGAGAAGGCCAAACTGCTTCTTGCACGCGCCGCTCCCCCCCCTGCTGTTGCCAGTGGTGCTGGTGGTGGTGAGGGTGGTGGTTCTGCTGCTGTTACTGCTCGTGCTGCTGCAGCTGGAGGTGGGAGTGGGGAGGGTGCGGGGAGGAAAGGAGGCTTTGGTGGAGCGGCAGGGCCAGGGGTGGGGATGATGGGAGGAGGAGGAGGAAGCGGTGGAAGAGGAGGAGGAGCGGGGATGATGGGGGGAGGAGGGGCGGGGATGGGTGGAGAGGCATATGTACGGCAGGCATCCCTGCCACCACAAAATAGAGGGGAGCAGCACGGAAACCTGTTTCGCCAGGGATCGTTGCAGCCTAACTCAGCGGCTATGGTGAGGCTGTTTGGATTCACATATTTCCCCTTAGCTCTCGTCTTGGAACCTCCTTGACCACACTCCCGCTGCCAGCTTCAAGGCACGCCCCCAGCCCCACTTATGAGGCGCCTCAAAACACGCCTTTTGAGGCGCCTCAAAACACGCCTTTTAAGGCGCCTCAAAACACGCCCCCAACCCCACTTACCGCACGCCTTTCTGCACGCACTCTGTTTTCTTGTCATTTGTCTTCCAGTTTTGAGACGTCTCAAAACTTCAAGGCGCGCCCCTTAGCCTCACTTACCGCACACCATTCTGCACGCACTCCATTTGGTCATCTGTCTTCCAGTTTTGACAAGTTCTGAAAACTTCAAGGCACGCTGTTAGCCCCACCTACCGCACGCCCTAGCCCCACCTACCGCACGCCCCTAGCCCCACGTACCGCACGCCCCTAGCCCTACCTACCGCACGCCCCTAGCCCTACCTACCGCACGCCCCTAGCCCTACCTACCGCACGCCCCTAGCCCCACGTACAGCACACCATTCTGCACGCACTCCATTTTCTTGGCATCTGTCTTCCTTCTTCCTGTAAACCCTTGTCTCGCATTGCCGTGATGTTTCAGTCAACTCAAAATCGTCTTTTGTACTTTCTCCGTCTCTTGTCATCTCTCCCCCTGCCTGCATGACTTTTGAGGCGTCTCAAAAGCCGTTTCTTGTCATCTCTCTCCCCGCCTGCATGCCCTCCCTTGCGTTGCCCTGCCAGCGCCAGCAGAAAGGGTCTCCTGCACGCGCCCATGCCCAGCAGTCGCAGCTACGGCCTCAGCAGCAGCAGCAGCAGCAGCAATCAACAGCACGAAGCTCAGCCAGTAGAAATTCAGAGAAGCTCCTCCACCAAACCTCCTGGTCCCCCGAACCTCGCTCGGTTCGGCAGTCTGCCGCGGATGCCAGCCTGGCTCGGCCAGGCTCCGTGCCTGCTGTGACGAATGGCGTGAAGAGCCTTCCTGCTGGAACTGAGGAGGAGGAAGGTGTGTGCGTGTGTGTGTGCACGCGTGCGTGCATGACTGTGTGTACGTGCGTGGGTGAGTGCTTGTGCGTGTTCAAAGTTGAACCCCCCTGCTTACACCTGCTTCGTTTTTTTTTGGTCGACTCAAAAGTCATGACTGTGCGTACGTGCGTGGGTGAGTGCGTGCGTGGGTGAGTGCTTGCGTAGGTGAGTGCTTGCGTGGGTGAGTGCTTGCGTGGGTGAGTGCGTGCGTGGGTGAGTGCTTGTGCCTGTTCAAAGTTGAACTCCCCCTGCTTACACCTGCTATATTGGAGTGACTCCTCCAGAATTCTCAAAAGTGAACCCCCCTGCTTACACCTGCTTCGTTTTTCTGCTCCTCCTCTCCTTGTACCCCATCTTCTTTTTTTCCTTGACAGATTGGAGCAGCTCTGATGATGATGATGATGCTGATGATGATGGTGGTGATGGTGTATTCAGAGCTGCTAATTCTGCCTTCGCCTCTGCAGGCGGCACAGACCTTTCTGGTGGGAATGCTGCTGCTGGGTTAGCCATTCCTGCTGCTGCTACAGCTACTGCTGCTACGCATACAGCTGTTGCCACTGCTGTCACTGCTGCTTCTACCACTATTGCTACTGTTGCCACGTCCGCTTCTATCGCCGCCACAACTCAAGCATCAGGTGCAGGTGCAGCTATCGCTGCCACTGCTACTTCTGCAGGTGCAGCTATTCCTGGTTCTAAACTAGCTGCAGTGATAGGGCAGGATGTGTTTTTTGAGGCGCCTCAAAAATCACCTCTAGCTGCAGTTATAGGGCAGGATGTGCGCCGAACCTTCTCAGACCCAAAGAAGGCCTCCGGATTTGCCAGCGCTCGCACTGCCAACCCTATTGTGGCACGTGTGGGTGGTGCTACCGCTGCTGCAGGGAACGCAGCAGGAGGGGTAGGGGAGGGGAAGGGGAGGCGGAGGTCTTTGGATGGGGCAGGGGAATGGCGAGAGCAAGAGGAAGGAGGAGGGGAACAAGGAGGAAGGGAACGAGGGGAAGGGGAGCGAGGAGGAAGGGCGCGAGGAGGGGAACAAGAAGGAGCGGGAGGTGGTAGTGGGAGGTTCAAAAGAGTGGAGAGTGGAGGTGGAGGTTCGAAAGCTGTGCTTCGTGTCAGTGCTGCTGCTGGTGCGCCCAGAATAGGAGGCAGTGGAAGCTTCAAGAGGGCCGATAGTGCCGATGCTAATGCTAGGGGAATGCTTAAAGCCGAAGGACCTGGAGGGAGTGAGAAATTTAAGAGGGCTGATAGCGCCGATTCTTGCGCTAAGGGTTTGCTTAAAGCCGAGGGAGTAAGAATAGGAGGGAGCGGGAGCTTCAAGAGGGCTGATAGCGCTGATGCTAGTGCTAAGGGCTTGCTTAAAGCAGACGGATCAGGAGGAAGTGAGAAATTTAAGAGGGCTGATAGCGCCGATGCTTGCGCTAAGGGCTTGCTTAAAGCCGAGGATGCGAGTCTAGGAGGGAGCGGGAGCTTCAAACGGGCTGATAGCGCGGATGCTAAGGGTGTTCTTGGATTTGAAGCTTCTAGGAAGGGAGGCAGTGGGGATTTCAAGAAGGATTGTAAGCGGAAGGATAGTAGTGGGGATAATATGAGGAGGGGCAGTGGGGATCTAGGTAAGGGTACGTTTAGATGTGAAGAGGCAGGTGGGGAGGAGAGAGATGAAGGCACCGAGTCTGGTCAGGAAGGGATGGTGATTTCAGACATGGGGCAAAGCAAGAGAAGGGCTAAGGGAGTGTACGGGGATGGTGGTGAGCCTAAGGGAAAACGTGGGTTTGCATCAGAGGAAGTGCGGGAGGAAGTGTGGGAGGAAATGCGGGAGGAAATGCGGGAGGAAATGCAGAAGGAATTGCGAGAGGATATTGAGAAGGAGAGGGCGCGACTGTGGGAGGAGATGCAGGCAGATGTGATGAGCCAATTGGAGCGCAGGAAACAGGAGCTGCTTGCTGACATGGCAAGGAAAGTTGATGCTGACGTGGCGGAGGAGTATGAGAGGATCAGGCGGCAACAGGAGGAGGAGATTCGGCAACAGGGCGAGGTTGAAACAGAGGTTACGGATTACCGAGCCAAGTTGCTAGCTTCGGTAGAAGAGGAGGCGACTCGCTTGCGGGAGAATTTGAGGGAGAGTAAGGCTCGGGAAGTGGCTCGGGCTGAGCGTGAGGTCCGGCGGCTGCAGGAGGAGCTGGAGGTTCGGGCGACTCAGGTGCTAGACTCGTTCCGAACCGACCTGCAGGTTCGGCTGGAAGGGGAGAAGCTGAAGCTGAGGAGAGAAGCAGTGCGAGCATTAGAGCGATGGAGAGAGGAACTTGAGATGAAGGTTCAGCGGAAGGTTCAAGGCATGCGGATGGATCTACAGATGAAGCTAGAGGCGAAAAGGAGGGAGATGGAGGTGGTAATGAGGACGAAAGTGGAGGAGGAGAGAGTGTGGCGATTGGAACGGCTTAGTCGGGAGCTGAGGGAGGAGGAGATGGAGCTCAGAAGGGGGTGGAGGGAGAGGATGGAGCGAGAGAAGCAGCGGGTGCTGGGAGATGGTGGGTCGAGGCGTTCGTTTGATCTGGGGGGTTTGAGGAATGGGCAAGGTGTGGGGTTGAACTTGAGAGAGGATGAGCAGAGAGTGCAGGAGGGTGTGTCAAGGCATTCTTTTGATTTGACGGAAAAATCACCTCTGATGCTGGGCGGGGTGAGGAACGGGCAAGGTGTAGGGTTGAGAGAGGGTGAGCAGATGATGTTTGGAAACATGAGGAGTCCTAGAAGGTTCGGAGGAGTGATTGGACAACAGCAGCAGCAGCAGCAGCAGCAGCAGCAGCAGCAGCAGCGGCACGTGGGGGAGGCATATGTATGGGACGGATTTTTTGACATGGAGTCTGATTTTAGCCGAGACGGGCATGGATATGGGCGCCGGTATGGGAATGGGAATGGGGATGGGAATGGGGATTGGGATGGGAATGCGTATGGATATGGGGATGGGGATGGGGCAGGGGGAGCAGGGTTCCTCCTCACGTCCTCTCCAGGGGCCCGCCCTGAGCATAGGAGAGCGAGGGCAGGGGAGCAGGGGCAGCAGGTAGGAGGCGTTGGTGAGGGTGGGTATGGGGTTGCCGCCGCTGCTGCTGCTTCTGCTAATGGTGCTGGTGGCGCTGGTACTGGTGCTGCTGCTGGCGGTGCTGCTGCTGCCACTGCTACTAACAATGGTGATGCCTCTGCTCCTGCAGTAATAGCAGCAGCAGCGGCAACAGCAGCAGCAGCTGTTTCTCCCACTCAAAACCTTGCTCCTTTTGAAGGGGGCCATTATGATTCTGGCAGCAATTTTGGGGAGAGCTCGTGCGAGTTCATGCCAAGATTTTCGCTCGGGCAGGCCGGGCAGGTGGAAGGAAGTGTATTGGCCGGGGACTGGATGGGTCAGGGCAGGGTTGGGCTGGGGGCAGGCGGGAGAAAACTGAGGAGGCGGGGGAAGAGCAATCGGACGGTGGAAAGCGAATCTGGTCACGATCGGACGGTGGAGGATGCATTGAAATCGGGGAGCTGTGGAGGGTATTACTCGGCACGGGGCGATTCAGATTCAGAGGAGATGGGGGATCTGGGGAAGGGGGATCTGGGGAGGGTGCATATACGGGCACGGCGCAGAGGGGTTCAGAGCGGTGGAGGGGCGTTTGACGATGGAGGGATCTCGTTTGGGTGAGTTCTTGATTCTTCTTCTTTTTCTTTGGTGGTGGAATCCTTTCATTGCCCTTTTTTTTTTCTCGTCTCCTTGCCATTTTGCTGCGTATTGTTGGCTTCTACCAAATCTACATGCTCCCCCACTCGACCCCTTCACCCGCCCGCTCCCCCCGCATCCTCCTCTCCCCTCTCCCCTCCCTCCCTCCCTCCCTCCCAGGGAGCGAGAGAGCATGTTGAAACAAGCCAGACGGTTTGCAGCGGAGCAGCGGCGGAGCTTGAAGGAGCGAGAGGCCGTGATAGAGGCGGCCAGGAGGGACTGGAGGAGCCGTATGGAAGCAGTTCAAGAGGTGAGGGGGGCGTGGGTGATAATAGTGAAGGGGAGTGATTGTAGCGAATGGGTGTGACTGCAGTGAAGGGTGTGATTGTAGTGAGTGGGTTTGTTTGTAGTGAATGAGTTTCCTACGGTGGAGCAGAGAGGCCGTGATGTGGGCGGCTAGGCGGGACCAGGGGAGCCACATGCAGAGGGGTGATTATGGTGAAGGGTTGTGATTGTATCTTTTCTTCCTCCTCTATCTTTTCTTCCTTTCCCGCCCTTAACCGTGCATTGCAGCTATGGGATCCCGAAGAGAGGCAGTGGGTGGACGGTGCAACATGTGATGTGTGTGCATCAAGGCGACGTTTGATCAGCATGAGAGAGGGAGTTGAATGATGATGCCAACTTTTGAGACGTCTCAAAATTCGTCTACTTTTCTTCCTCCTCGATCTCTTCTTCCTTTCCCGCCCTTAACCGTGCATTGCAGCTATGGGATCCCGAAGAGAGGCAGTGGGTGGACGGTGCAGCATGTGATGTGTGTGCATCAAGGCGACGTTTGATCAGCATGAGAGAGGGAGTTGAATGATGGTGCCAACTTTTGAGACGTCTCAAAAGTCGTCTACTTTTCTTCCTCCTCTATCTTTTCTTCCTTTCCCGCCCTTAACCTTGCATTGCAGCTATGGGATCCCGAAGAGAGGCAGTGGGTGGACGGTGCAGCATGTGATGTGTGTGCATCAAGGCGACGTTTGATCAGCATGAGAGAGGGAGTTGAATGATGGTGCCAACTTTTGAGACGTCTCAAAAGTCGTCTACTTTTCTTCCTCCTCGATCTTTTCTTCCTTTCCCGTCCTGAACCGTGCATTGCAGCTATGGGATCCCGAAGAGAGGCAGTGGGTGGACGGTGCAACATGTGATGTGTGTGCATCAAGGCGACGTTTGATCAGCATGAGAGAGGGAGTTGAATGATGATGCCAACTTTTGAGACGTCTCAAAAGTCGTCTACTTTTCTTCCTCCTCTATCTTTTCTTCCTTTCCCGCCCATAACCGTGCATTGCAGCTATCTGATCCCGAAGAGAGGCAGTGGGTGGATGGTGCAAGGAGGCTATCTGATACAACGTCGCCTTGATGAGTGTGCATCAAGGCGACGTTGTATCAGCATGAGAGAGGGAGTTGAATGATGATGCCAAGAGCATGAAGCAGCTCAGAAAGAGCTTGCTTGCCTTCTCTCCTTTTCCCCTCATGTTCCTCCTTTATTCTTATCGCTCTTCCCACCCTCTCCTATCTCCTGCGTTCTTCCCTTCCCGCCCTTGCATGCAGTTATCCGATCCTGATGAGAAGAGGCGGAAAGGGCAACACCTGATGGCCATTAAAGCCACATTGGACCAGCACGAGAGGGAGTTGAATGATGATGCCAGGAGCGTGAAGCAGCTGAGAAAGAGCTTACTTGCCTTCTCCCGCAACGCTCCTTCTGCTGGTAGTGGTGGCGGTGGCGGCGGTGGCGGCGGTGGCGGCGGTGGTGGTGGTAATTTAAGTGGCAGTGGATTCTTAAGTGCCAGTGGTGGTATCAATACCGAGGAGGGGTTTTGGGCTGGGATTAGGGGAGAGGGTGGGGAGCGAGCGGGCGGAGGGATGGGAGGAGGGATGGGAAAAGGGGGCGGTGGTAATTTTGGAAAGTTCTTGGGTATTCCGCCAGGTGGTGGCGTGCGATTGGACCAGAACCGCCCGCTGCTCACTTTCCCGCCGAGTGCCATCGTGTCCCCAGCCTCCTCGTTTGCTTCGGTAACGATCCAAGAAGGGAACCCGGACCTGAGCGACGTGGGCTACAACTCAGGTTCGGGGATGAAACTCCCTGCCGAAGCTGGTGCAGCGGGTGTAGCTGGTCCTGGGGGTGCTGGGGGTGCTGGGGGGGGTGGCTGTGTCTCCTCTCCCTTGTCCTCTCCTGTACGGCGAGAGTTAGGGAAGAGCGTGCTTGGGATTGAGTCTCCTAAAAAGAGGCTAGCGGAGTCTGCTTTTGAGACTCGTCAGAAATCCCCCTTGTCTTCTCCTGTTCGGCGAGAGGGAGGGGAGCGCGTCTTTGGGTGGAAGGGTGAAGAGACGAGGGTTGGAGATGGGAAGGGCGCTGCTGGTGTGAATGCTGCCGCTGCTGCTGCTACTGCTGGTGCTGGTGGTGTTGGTGGTGTTGGTGCTGGTTCTGGTGCTTCTCGTGGTGCTGGTGCTGCTGATGTAGTTAGCAGCAGCCATGTGACTGGATTCAAACTGCAAGGGAGGAGGGCTGGAGGAGAAAAAGGGGGAGCGGAAGCAGCAGTTAGAGTGGAAGGAGGGCATGTGGTAGGAGGGAAAGGTGGAGTCGAAGCAGGAGGAAAAAAGGAGGGAAGCAGAGCAGCAGTTGGAGAAGCACGGAACACCACCAGAGGTGCAGCGGGTTTCCTTGTACAGTCTTCTGAGTCGACTCGAAAAGCAGCTGGAGAGGCAAAGAGCAGCGGAAGAGGTGCGACAGAGAACCCTTCTTCAAGAATGGCAGCCTTTGTGAGAGATGGGAGGCGGGGAGAGAGCGAAGGGAGGCATGCAAGTGGCCAAGGCAGTAATGCCAATGCTTCTAAAAAGGGGGCATCTTTTGCTGGAACAAAAGCAGCAACAGCCGCAGCAGCAGCAGCGGTGACAAGTGGAAGGACATTCAACCCTCTAGTCAACCCAGAACGAGCCTACGTGAGCTTGCGTTCCCTCCCCTTCCATTCTCTTCTCCAATTCATGCTCTCCTTTCCTCGCTATTCTCCTTCGTCCTCTCCCCTTCTCTTCGTTCCGCCCTCTCCCTCTTCTCCTTCCCCTCCCTCCTCGCTTTTCTCATTCTCTTGTTTCCCTTGTTATGCCTTCTCCCGCCATCTCTCTGCCCGCTCTCGCTTTGCTTATCACGTTCCACTCTTCCCACACTTGTCCCGTTCCCTTCCCTCCCTTTACATTCCCTTATTTTCATTCCCTCCCCCCCCCCTCCCCCCTCGGTCCCTGCCAGTCGAAGGGTGAAAGCCGGTTGTAGCAGCACAAGCAGGGCTTCATGAGGTGTGGCCGGGGGGCAAGCATTCGGGGGGGGAGGGACAGTGAGATGCAAGTTCGGGACCAGTTGAGGGGCGAGCACCCGTCCTGGTGCTCTATTAAGAAAAGCAACAGGAGCAGCAGCAGCGGCATCAGGAGCAGCTGGTAGCCTGGTAACCATCCGTTTTAACCCCAACACCAATGACAGCACAGCAGCAGCGCCATTTATTCATTGGAAACAGCTGGAGAGTTTGCAGGCCCAGTGGAACAGCAGGCTGTGCGGGAGAGCTTCAAAACAGCAGCTGCAGCAACGTTGTTGTTGAGTTATTGTATTATATGTTCATTCGTTTGCATTTAATTTAATTTATTTGTTTTGAATACCCTTGTACCACTGGATCTGCAGTATGGTATTGTTGATTTTGTTGTGTCTGTTCCATTGTTTCTTTTGTATGCTTGTCTGAACAAATGGTACTGGTAGTAAGAGTAAAGGAGAAGTCAGATTCTGTTCAGCAGTTCGCACCACAACGATTCCTGCTGTTCAATGCAACTCCTGTGGATGCTGACAACAGATAATACCACAACGTACGCGCCTGATCCTGCTACTGTCAATGCTGAAATTATGCTGGCATTGCTATTGCTATTGCTGCTGCTGCGATTGCCGCTGCTGCCCCTGCTGCTGCTGTTGCTGTTGCTGCTGCTGCTGCCATGGCTGGGTATATTGCTGTTGTTGGTAGTTCATATATTGCTGTGGGTATGTGTGCTGCTGGTAGTTAACTTGTTGCTGTTGGTAGTTAACCTGTTGCTGCTGGTAGTTAACCTGTTGCGGCTGTGAGAACGTCTGCTGCTGCATGTGCTGCATTGGCCCTGACGGGTAAGCCTGCTGCCCTAAACCCTGCTGCTTTGACCCTTGGGAATACCCATCAAAGGCAAATCCTCCTGGTGCTGGTGACAGCGCTGGTGATGCTGCTGCTGCCTGTGGTTGTGCATTTAGCTGTGTGGCGTTGAGTGCTGCTCCCACGGATGCCATGTTGGGGAACGTTGCCTGTTGGGACGGGGACTGGGAGACGGGAGGAAAGGGTTGGGGGGAGAGCTTCCTGCTGTTGTGTGTGTGGTTGTGGTTGTGCATTTATCTGTGCGGCGTTGAGTGCTGCTCCCACGGATGCCATGTTGGGGAACGTTGCCTGTTGGGACGGGGACTGGGAGACGGGAGGAAAGGGTTGGGGGGAGAGCTTCCTGCTGTTGTGTGTGTGGTTGTGGTTGTGCATTTATCTGTGCGGCGTTGAGTGCTGCTCCCACGGATGCCATGTTGGGGAACGTTGCCTGTTGGGACGGGGACTGGGAGACGGGAGGAAAGGGTTGGGGGGAGAGCTTCCTGCTGTTGTGTGTGTGGTTGTGGTTGTGCATTTATCTGTGCGGCGTTGAGTGCTGCTCCCACGGATGCCATGTTGGGGAACGTTGCCTGTTGGGACGGGGACTGGGAGACGGGAGGAAAGGGTTGGGGGGAGAGCTTCCTGCTGTTGTGTGTGTGGTTGTGGTTGTGCATTTATCTGTGCGGCGTTGAGTGCTGCTCCCACGGATGCCATGTTGGGGAACGTTGCCTGTTGGGACGGGGACTGGGAGACGGGAGGAAAGGGTTGGGGGGAGAGCTTCCTGCTGTTGTGTGTGTGGTTGTGGTTGTGCATTTATCTGTGCGGCGTTGAGTGCTGCTCCCAGAGATGCCATGTTGGGGAAAGGCGCCTGCTGGGATGGGGACTGGGAGAGGGGAGGAAGGAAAAGGGGGGCCCAAGGCCTTGAGATAACCGAAATGGGGAAGGGACAGGAAAGGAACAATCGCCCTTCAGTTTTCAGGGTGCTATTGGATTTTTTGGAGAGAAACCGGCAGGGAAGGGCTTGGCGCTGGGACTGGGAAAAATAAATACATACATACATATATATACCCATGTATATGTATATATATTTAAAAGCCATTCTTAGAAGCAGGGCGCATGAGATTTGCAAGGCAACAAAAAAAAAAAAAGAGGAGAAAGAGGAAGGGAGAAACAAAGAGAAGGACTCTTGGAAAATAAATGAATAATTAGATAAGAAAATAATGGAAATATACAGCACTGCGTGTGGGAGGCCTACCAGTCCTGGAGACCCCAATGGTGACGGCCTAACCCCAGGGCTTCCCATGACGCCTGCAGAGCCCCACATAGCGCTTCCTGGGCCTCCCATCACCCCCCCCCGGCTCCCCATAATCCCTCCCAGGCTTCCCATCACCCCTCCCGGGCTCCCCATAATCCCTCCTGGGCTTCCCATCACCCCTCCCGGGCTTCCCATCACCCCTCCCGGGCTTCCCATCACCCCTCCCGGGCTTCCCATCACCCCTCCCGGGCTTCCCATCACCCCTCCCGGGCTTCCCATCACCCCTCCCGGGCTTCCCATCACCCCTCCCGGGCTTCCCATCACCCCTCCCGGGCTTCCCATCACCCCTCCCGGGCTTCCCATCACCCCTCCCGGGCTTCCCATCACCCCTCCCGGGCTTCCCATCACCCCTCCCGGGCTTCCCATCATTCCCCCAGTGTCCCCCATGATTCCTCCTGGGCTCCCCATAACCCCTCCCCCAATTAACCCGCCTCCACTTCCCATAACCCCCCCTGGGCTCCCCATACCCCCCCCCTGCGCTCCCCATACCCCCCCCTGCGCTCCCCATACCCCCCCCTGCGCTCCCCATACCCCCTACTTGACTTCCAATCACTCCCCCTGGGCCACCCATCACTCCTCCTGGGCCACCCATAACCCCTCCCTGAGGGTATGGCTGTGACTGTAAGGGTGGGGATTGGAACGGCTGTGACTGTAAGGGTGGGGATTGGAATGGCTGTGACTGGACGGGTGGGGACTGGTATGGGTGGAACTGTGTGGGAGGGGATTGTAACGAGTGTGACTGTGAGGGAGGGAAGGAATGTGACTGTATCGGAGGGGACTGTACAGGGGAGAAAGCTTGAGCATAGCCCCCATATGCTTGTAATCCATGGCCCTGCCCCTGCCCCTGCCCCTGCCCCTGCCCCTGCCCCTGCCCCTGCCCCTGCCCCTGCCCCTGCCCCTGCCCCTGCCCCTGCCCCTGCCCCTGCCCTTGCACATATCCCTGACCCTGAGCCTGAGTCAATAAGTGAAACTGTCCCTGTCTTTGCGTCTGAATGAATAATTCAGTCTGCCCCTGCAACTGTCCCTGTGCCTGAGTTACTGATTGGAACTGCCCCTGCCCGGCCTGGGTTACAGACTGAAACTGCCCCTGCCCGGCCTGGGTTACTGGCTGAAACTGCCCCTGCCCCTGTGCCTGCATCCCATAGGCCTCGTACCCCAGTGGTGACGCTGATAACTGAGATTGCCCATATCCCATGGATCCATATTCTGGGCCAAGAGAAGGAGCATTTCCAGAGATCGATTGCAGAGCTGGCATAGCTGGCATAGCAGGTGCAGGTACAGCTGGTGCAGGTACAGCTGGTGCAGGTACAGCTGGTGCAGGTACAGCTGGTGCAGGTACAGCTGGTGCAGGTACAGCTGGCATGGGGTTGCTATCGAAATGTGCCCAGGAGGCAAAACCATTGGCAATGCTGCTGCTGTCGCAGCCGCTGCTGCTGCTCTCTTTTTTCACTGATGTTGCTGCTGATGCTTCTTCCGCTGCTGCTGTTGCTGTTGTTGTCGCTGCTGCAGCTCCTGCTGCGGCCGCTGCAGCTGCTGCTGTATCTGCTTGTGCCGGCACTGGTATTTTCCCCTGCTGATGCTGCTCTCCTCCCCCTGTTCCCCCCTCCATCTGTTCCTGAAGCTGCCAGTGCTTGGGAGCAGGCACGGGAGCAGCAGGAGGGAGAGTGAGGTTATCCCCATCCCCTTCATCTGAGAAGTCAATCAGGTTACCTAGAGGAGCCAGTGGTGCTGATGCTGGTGCTGCTGATGCAGGGGCAACTGACGGTCCTGCTTCTGCCCCTGCTGCTGCAGTGGTTGCTGATGCTGCTGCTGCAGCTGCTACAGGTGTTGGCACAGGACCCGCAGGTGCTGATGAAGGGATTCGAGAAGCAGGAGCGTGGGCGGCGGCAGGCGGAGAGGCAGAGGGAGGGGACGAAGCAGAGAGAGCAGAGGGAGCAGAGGGAACAGTGGAGGGAGAACCGGGGCGGGCTGAAGGAGAGGACGAAGTTTGATGCACATGTGTGTTACCCCGCCCTGGTTCACTGTGATACACTCTCAACTCAATCTCGTCCCCTAGCAGGTCACTCACAGGCCTCACAGGCGCATCTATCGCATCACCACTGCTTGGAGCGTTGGAGAACCTAGTGGTGCTACCCGTGCTGCTGCTGCCAGGGAATTTAGCGCTAGCGCTAGTGCTCGTGCGGGTGCTGGTGGTGGTGGCGGTGTTGCTGCTGGCAGAGAGATAGGATGTGCGTGGGGGAAGAGGGTGCTGCTCCTGCTGCTGCTGCTGCTGCTGCTGTGGCGGCTGCTGCTTATGCTGGTGGGAGGGAGGGAGTGTGGGGGAGAAGGAGAGAGAGGCCCGCGCGCTGCTGCTGCGTTGGAGGTCGGAGGGCTGGGGGAAGGAGGCGGAGGGAGAGCCGTCCATCGAGTGGGTCCGCCCCGAGGGGGAGCTCTGAGAGGAAAGAAAGGGGGGAGGGAGGGGTGTAAGAAACGGAAGAGTGAGAGAAGAAAGTGGTGTGCTGAGCTGGGAGAAGGAGAGAGAGGCGCGGGCGCTGCTGCTGCGTTGGAGGTCGGAGGGCTGGGGGAAGGAGGCGGAGGGAGAGCCGTCCATCGAGTGGGTTCGACCGGAAGGAGAGCTCTGAAAGGGAAAAAACGGGGAAGGGAGGGGTTTAAAACGGTGAGAGTGAGAGAAGGACGAAGGCGCGATGAGCAGGACAAGGGAGGGCGGGCGCTGCTGCTGCGTTGGAGGTCGGAGGACTGGGGGAAGGAGGCGGAGGGAGAGCCGTCCATCGAGTGGGTCCGACCAGAAGGAGAGCTCTGAGTGAAGGGGGGGGGGGGAAGGGAATGGGGGAAGGAGGCGGAGGGGGAACCGTCCATAGAGTGTGTTCGCCCCGAGGGAGAGTTCTGAGGGAAAGGGGGAAAGGGGGAAAGGGGGAAAGGGGGGAGAAAGTGAGAGAGGGAAAGAGGCGCTTTTGAGAGGGAAAGGGGGAAAGGGGGAAAGGGGGAAAGGGGGAAAGGGGGAAAGGGGGGAGAAAGTGAGAGAGGGAAAGAGGCAATCGATTTGTGAATGGCGGAGGAGAGGAAGGAAGTGAAAGAAGCAACCATCATATCATCGTCTGTTGAGACGTCTCAGAAGTTTTTTGAGACGTCTCAGAAATCGATTTGTGCATGAGGGAGGAGAGGAAGGAAGTGAAAGAAGCAACCATCATATCATCGTCTGTTGAGACGTCTCAAAAGTTTTCTGAGACGTCTCAGAAATCGATTTGTGCATGAGGGAGGAGAGGAAGGAAGTGAAAGAAGCAATCATCATATCACCGTCTGTGTGGTTATGAGGTGACAAGTCACGTCATCATATCACCGTCTGTGTGGTTATGAAGTGACAAGTCACGTCATCATATCATCGTCTGTCTGGTGGTTATGTCACCGCTTATGTTCACCATTGCCATCACCACACACTTCTCGTGGTTTTTAAGGCGCCAAAAAAATCAGAATCATAATAGAGTTATGTCACTGCTAATGCTCACCATTGCCATCACCACACACATACCTCTCGTGAATTCTGCCTGCTTTTGAGTCGACTCAAAAGCTGCTACTGTTCACCATCGCCATCGCCACATACATACCTCTCGTGAGTTCCGCCCCACATATCTCCTCTCCACAAAGACTGCTCGAATGAACTCCCTCACAGCCTTGGGGTCACTGACGGGTGGAGGAAAAAGGGCAGACGGGAAAGAACACAGAGCGAGGAGAAGGAACGACGAGGGCCTTTCTTCCACCTGTAGTCTTTGAGGCGCCTCGAAAGAGGGCTGTCCTTCCACCTGTGGTCCTTCATGGCGATACATGAGGCGTCAAAGCCTGTGGTCCTGCGTCCCATATATCGCCTTTCCACGAAGACTGCCCGAATGAACTCCCTCACAGCCGCCTGGGGGTCACTGGAGGGGCGTTGGCAAGAGGAGGAGGGACGGGGAGGAGGGAAGGGGAGGAGGTAAGGAAGGACAGAACGTTTTTTGAGGCGCCTCAGAAGGGGAGGAGGTAAGGAAGGACAGAACGTTTTTTGAGGCGCCTCAGAAGGGGAGGAGGTAAGGAAGGACAGAACGTTTTATAAGGCGCCTCAGAAGGGGAGGAGGTAAGGAAGGACAGAACGTTTTATAAGGCGCCTCAGAAGGGGAGGAGGGAAGGGGAGGAGGTAAGGAAGGCCAGAGCGTTTTCATAAACTGTGCCCATCACATTGCATTTCCAGAAAGACCACTCCAAGCAACTGGCTCCAGAAAGACCCATCACATTGCCCATCACTTGCATGGGCAGGCAGGCAGGCAGGCAGGCAGGCAAGCAGGCAGGCAGGCAGGCAGGCAGGCAGGCAGGCAGGCAGGCAGGCAGGCAGGCAGGCAGGCAGGCAGGCAGGCAGGCAGGCAGGCAGGCAGGCAGGCAGGCAGGCAGGCAGGCAGGCAGGCAGGCAGGCAGGCAGGCAGGCAGGCAGGCAGGCAGGCAGGCAGGCAGGCAGGCAGGCAGGCAGGCAGGCAGGCAGGCAGGCAGGCAGGCAGGCAGGCCAGCAGGCAGGCAGGCAGGCAGGCAGGCAGGCAGGCAGGCAGGCAGGCAGGCAGGCAGGCAGGCAGGCAGGCAGGCAGGCAGGCAGGCAGGCAGGCAGGCAGGCAGGCAGGCAGGCAGGCAGGCAGGCAGGCAGGCAGGCAGGCAGGCAGGCAGGCAGGCAGGCAGGCAGGCAGGCAGGCAGGCAGGCAGGCAGGCAGGCAGGCAGGCAGGCAGGCAGGCAGGCAGGCAGGCAGGCAGGCAGGCAGGCAGGCAGGCAGGCAGGCAGGCAGGCAGGCAGGCAGGCAGGCAGGCAGGCAGGCAGGCAGGCAGGCAGGCAGGCAGGCAGGCAGGCAGGCAGGCAGGCAGGCAGGCAGGCAGGCAGGCAGGCAGGCAGGCAGGCAGGCAGGCAGGCAGGCAGGCAGGCAGGCAGGCAGGCAGGCAGGCAGGCAGGCAGGCAGGCAGGCAGGCAGGCAGGCAGGCAGGCAGGCAGGCAGGCAGGCAGGCAGGCAGGCAGGCAGGCAGGCAGGCAGGCAGGCAGGCAGGCAGGCAGGCAGGCAGGCAGGCAGGCAGGCAGGCAGGCAGGCAGGCAGGCAGGCAGGCAGGCAGGCAGGCAGGCAGGCAGGCAGGCAGGCAGGCAGGCAGGCAGGCAGGCAGGCAGGCAGGCCAGCAGGCAGGCAGGCAGGCAGGCAGGCAGGCAGGCAGGCAGGCAGGCAGGCAGGCAGGCAGGCAGGCAGGCAGGCAGGCAGGCAGGCAGGCAGGCAGGCAGGCAGGCAGGCAGGCAGGCAGGCAGGCAGGCAGGCAGGCAGGCAGGCAGGCAGGCAGGCAGGCAGGCAGGCAGGCAGGCAGGCAGGCAGGCAGGCAGGCAGGCAGGCAGGCAGGCAGGCAGGCAGGCAGGCAGGCAGGCAGGCAGGCAGGCAGGCAGGCAGGCAGGCAGGCAGGCAGGCAGGCAGGCAGGCAGGCAGGCAGGCAGGCAGGCAGGCAGGCAGGCAGGCAGGCAGGCAGGCAGGCAGGCAGGCAGGCAGGCAGGCAGGCAGGCAGGCAGGCAGGCAGGCAGGCAGGCAGGCAGGCAGGCAGGCAGGCAGGCAGGCAGGCAGGCAGGCAGGCAGGCAGGCAGGCAGGCAGGCAGGCAGGCAGGCAGGCAGGCAGGCAGGCAGGCAGGCAGGCAGGCAGGCAGGCAGGCAGGCAGGCAGGCAGGCAGGCAGGCAGGCAGACAGACAGGCAGGCAGGCAGGCAGGCAGGCAGGCAGGCAGGCACTACTCAGTGACTCACTTGCTGTTGGGAGGGGCTCTGCCGGCCCCTGGGAGAAAGTAATCTCGCGCCCGCTGCGAGAAGCAGAAGAGGGGGGGGGGGGAGAGGAAGAAGGGGGTGGGGGGGGGAAGGGGAAAGTGGAGGCGCGGTTGCAAAGATGGAAGAAGCCTTAGAGAGAGCACACTTCAATGCTTTGCAGCTTCAGCAAACGCAACTTGTCCGAGAGCAAATTGCCAATGATAGGAGAGAGAGAGTGCCTGGAGGGAAGGGAGATTAAGAACATGACAGTGGGGGAACGGAAAGAGAGTGTTGGATGATATTGTCGGAACAACAGACTGGAATGATGAACTAGAAAGGATTGTGAGTACAAATATGAAACCCTAATGTTGTGACCCCCCTACAGGCTAACCCACTACAGCCTACACAAATATAACATATACAATGTTTGACACACCCCCATAGGCAAAGTGGGGGAGACCTAGGGGTCACAAGACCAGTCAAGGCAAAGCAAGGCAACAACAAGCTCAGGGTGGATCTCAAGGATTCCACACAAATTCTGAGCACAAGCTAGTGGTCACAAGACCAGTTCACATGCAGGTTTATAACAGAGCAAGAGATACAGTGATCACAACCTAGCAAGAGTAAACATGCAGGTAGATATATATATAGTGATCACAGTACAAGCAAGGTCAAGAGGTAAGTAAGTGAGGTCCAGTAGGCACAAGGCCTAGCAGAGTACAGAAGCGCTGATGGTCACAAGGCGGAAGCGCCTTGGTGAACACATCAGCAAGGTTGGCCTCAGTGGCCACGTAACGCAGACAAAGCTGACCGCGCTGCTGCAGCTCTCGAGCAAGGAAGTACCGCAGGGCGATGTGCTTCGTTCTGTACTCCAGTCTGTGCTCCTCACACAAGGCAATGGCAGCCTGGTTGTCGACGTAAAGCACTGGAGGAGAACGAGGCCGCTCACCCAAGTCGGTCAGCAGGTAGGTCAGCCAGCGTAGCTCCTGTGCAGCCATGGATGTGGCGTAGATCTCAGCCTCACAACTGGAGCTGAGAACAGAAGAAGAGCGTGTAGAACGCCAAGAAACTGAGCCAGAGCCAAGGCTGAAGGTGTAACCCTGAGACGACCGCTGAGTAGCCTGGTCGTCCGCCCAAGACGCGTCTGAGTGTCCAGTAAGTACAACTCGGTCTCGCCCTCCAAGCACTAGCCCCATGCCCGACGTACTGCACAAGTAGCGCAACACCCTCTTAGCGGCATCCATGTGCTCCTTCCTGTGACGGCCAGGAGCGACATAGCGTGCAAGGATGCTAAGAGGGTATGCAAGGTCAGGTCGAGTGCAGGTCATCAGGTACATGAGGCAGCCCACAAGCTCTGGATACGGGCCACTCGGCTCTACGGACTCATCCGAAGGCAGAGCTGAGAGCGAGTGACCGGTAGGCAGAGGAGTGGACTGAGGCGAGGAGTACGTGAAGCGGAAGCGCTGGAGAACCTGCTGCACCATGTGTGACTGAGTCAAGGTGATGGTGCGCCGTGCTCTGTCCCGGGTGATCCGCAAGCCAAGATAGCTTGTCAGTTCACCCAGGTCTGTGCACGTGTGTCTCCTCTGCAGCTCCGACTTCACGTGGGCGAGTGCCGCGGTGTCAGCAGTGGCAAAGACCAAGTCGTCGACGTACACGAGGATGTAGAACGGCGGCAGCGAAGTGTCTGTGCGTAGAAACAGTGACGGGTCAGCAGTAGAGGGAGCGAACCCAAGAGCCGCAAGTGTCGTCCTCAGTGTGTCGTGCCACTCACGCGGTGCCTGGCGGAGACCGTAGACCGGCCGCTGAAGCCTCCACTGGGTACCAGGAGGAACCGACCCAGTGAAGCCAGGAGGGCGGCGCAGCCAGATCTCCTCGTGCAGGCTGCCCTGCAAGAAAGCTGTGCTGAAGTCAAGTGAGTGAAGCTCGTAGTCGCGCTGAGCGGCTATGTGCAGCAGCACCCGAAGAGTGGTCATCTTCGGGGTGGGGGAGAAGGTCTGGAAGAATTCAACTCCCTCTCGCTGACTGAAGCCTCGAGCCACGTAGCGCGCCTTGAAGACAGGAGGAGAACCCGGTGGCCGCTTCACCCTGAAAATCCACATGCCACTGACGATGTTCGCCCCAGGTGGGGGAACCTCGTCGACGTAGGTGCGTGTGGACTTCCAGGAAGCCATCTCTGCGTCCATGGCTGTCTGCCACTGAGAGGAGTAGGGACCCGCCATCGCCTCAGCGTAAGTGCGCGGGGTCGGGATGTCTGGTGCATCCGGGTCTCCCTCAGGGGCAACTAGCATGGACACGAGGTGGGGCAAAGCAGCAGCAAAGCACTGGAACTCCTCCTGTCTGTCCTCAAGGACGTCCGTGCCAAGAGCACACTCACCCCCGACGGACGGAGGAGAGACAGACTCAGACTCAGCAACAAGGCTAGTGGCGTAGTCTAGACGACAGTGGGCAGCAAAGTCTATCAACTCAGCGACTAGAGCAGACGCAGCAGAGGACTCAAAGGTAGGGCCAGTGGCAACAGTAGCGAGGAGACGGGTGACAGTGGGACTGGCAGCACGACGGGAGTCAGACTCCGGGTCAGGAAGAGTAGGCAGAGAGGAAGCGGGAGGAGACGGTAGCGGGACACGCTGAGGAGCAGTGGAGGGACGCAGAGTCATGTAGTGAGTGCCTGGGACAGGAGGAGGACGCTCACGTGGGACACGACGACCAGTGCGAGAAGTACGAACAGGCGACGCAGGACGAGACTCAGGCTCACGACGCTCTGTAAGACCTCCTGTGGGACCAGCGTAAGGAGAGGGAGCAGGAAGAGGCGAGGCAGGCGGGAACTGTGACTGCGGCTGGACAGGCGGAGGACACTCTAAGGAGGGAGGAGGACAAGGAGGAGGAGTCTGCCCAAGAACCTGCTGAAGGAGCGGTACGAAGTACGGTCGCGGCCGCTCAGCGTCTCCAGAACCAGCAGAGACACCAGTGGCAGGGTCCTCAGTACCAGCAGCAGCTCCACCGGCCGGGTCCTCAACACCAGCAGCAGCTCCACCGCCCGGGTCCGCAGCTCCAGCAGCAGCTCCAACGCCCGGGTCCTCAGCACCAGTAGCAGCTCCACCGTCCGGGTCCTCAGCACCAGCAGCAGCTCCACCACTCGAGTCCTCAGCACCAGCAGCAGCGCCACCGCTCGGGTCCTCAGCACCAGTAGCAGCTCCAACGCCCGGGTCCCCAGCACCAGCAGCAGCTCCAACGCCCGGGTCCTCAGTACCAGCAGCAGTGCTACGAGCACCACTCCGAAGACTGCAGCGTCGCGTGTACCACTCTCGGATCTGCTGAATGGGGGGGAGCTCCTGGGTAGGAGGGGAAGTACCGGGACGAGCTCCAGCAGCACCTCTCCGGAGGCGGCAGTACTCGAGGTACCTCTCCTGCAGCTGCTGGGAGGAGAGGGCTCCTCCAGGTGTAGCACGCTCAGTCTCAGTACCCCCAGACTCAGCACCCCCAGACTCCGCACCCCCAGGCTCAGCACCTCCAGGCTCCACACCTCCAGGGTCCGCACCTCCAGGCTCAACACCCCCAGGCTCCGCACCTCCAGGCTCAACACCCCCAGGCTCAGCACCCCCAGACTCAGCACCCCCAGGCTCAGCACCCCTAGACGCAGGACGAGAGTCAACAGCTACCTCGACAGGCTCACCCGGGTCTACCTGGGACACACCTGAGGGAGCGGCACCCTGAGGGGGGAGGGGGTCTGGTACCTCTGCACCTGGAGCGAGGAAGAGAGGCGGGGGGGGGAGCGGGGCAGTGCGGTAGGGGAAGAGGCGGTAGTAGGGGACGGACTCGTCAAAAGTGACGTCCTGAGAGGCCAGGACACGCCGCGAGGTGGGGTGGTAGAACTGCCAACCAGGGGCGTCCGGGACAAAGCCAAGGAAGACGCAGGGGACAGCGCGACGGGAGAGCTTGTCCGCGGACGTGTCGCGGACAAAAGCTCGGGATCCCCAGACCCGAAAACGCGACGCATCGCCGGCCTCTCCCGTCCAACGCAGTGTCGGAGAAGTCTCGGGCAAGGAGACACGGGGCCAGAGGTTGAGCTGATGCGCAGCGTATCGGACTGCAAACGGCCACAGAAAGTGGGGGGCAGCCGCATGAACCAAGGAGGTACGAGCGACCTCCATGACCAAGCCAATGCGGCGCTCAGCAACCCCATTCTGCTGTGGAGAGGCCGGAAGCGTGAACGACTGCTCAATGCCCTCCTGCTGACAGAAGGCCTCCAAGAGGCCAGAGGAAAACTCTCCACCTCTGTCAGAGTGCAGACGCAGGACAGGGAAGTCGGAGCGGAAACGCTCACTGAGCTGGAGACGAGATCTGCGGATCCAAGGGATCAAGACATCAGGGACGTCACCCTTGGTGCGCAAGGGGAAGACCGTGGTGTAGCGCGAGAAGTCGTCAACAACAATCAGGAAGTACCTCTCCTGACCCTGACCACGGACGCGGGCTGGGCCCCACACGTCCATGTGGAGCGTCTGCAAAGGAGCAGTCGTCGGGGGAAAGGAGGAGGAGTGAGGAGCGGCGCGCTGCCGCCCCTCGACACAGGGAAGACAGGGAGGAGCAGGCGAGTCGGGAAGGGGAGGAAGCACCCTGGGAAGACCAGCAACAAGGTCCCGTTTGTGCATGGCCCGAAGGCGCTGCACAGACGGGTGACCAAGGCGGTGGTGCCAAAGGACAGTCTCATGCGCCAGAGAGCGACACGAGCAGGGGGCGGACAGCTGACCTGACGCAGACGCAGACGTAGACGCAGACGCAGCTACCTGAGGGGACTCAGTGGTCAGTATGTACAGGTCCGACCCCGGCTCTCGAGTGAAAGTAGCCAGGTGGCGACCCGTCCGAGCACACGTGCAGTGTGTCACGCGTTCGTAGGCAGGGGTGAACTTCCGAGTCCTGGAGCGCACAACCCGCCATCAAGTTCGTAGAGAACGAGGGGAGGTAGAGACCTGACAGCGTGCCGGACGGGACCGCAGGACAAGGAAGGACAGTGGAGGAGGTCGCAATGACCGGACCCCCAGAGGGGTCAGCAAGGGAGACAGCAACTGGCCGAGCGAGTGGCTCAAGGACAGTACGGTCACGAAAGAAAGAGCGAGAAGCACCTGAGTCCAGGGTGAAGGTGTGCAGTGCTGCAGTCGACTCAGTACCAGGGGGCACAGACGCACTAGCACCTAGGGCAGCAGCCTCACCAGGACCTGTGGGAGCGGACGCACTAGCACCTAGAGCGGCGGCCGGACTGGCCTGAATGCCCGGGTCGGCCGGAGCACGCAAGTACTGAAAACCCTCTCCACTAATAGACATCGCATACATGGCAGTGAGAATAGCATCAAAGTCTAGAGCCCAAATATCAACACCCCTCTTTTCCAGGTCAGCCCAGCGCGGCAGCTCAGTGGCAGCAGGAAACTGGGTGCGCCACGCGTCGTTAAGGCGCGCGAAGCAGCGCTGCGTGGGGTGCGGCCTCCCACACTGCTGGCCGCTGCGGTCACCTGTGCGAATGACGTACGTGCAGGTAAAGCCACGCTGCGCATACCACTCACGGGCGGCCTGAAGCGTCGGGGCGGGCTGCTGACTCTGCCCTCCGCCAGTGCCTCCACGACCACCACCCCCACCGCCTCCGCCCCGGCCACCTCCACCCCTGCCGCCACCACGACCACCTCCGCCCCTGCCACCACTCCCGCCGCTGCTGTCTCCTCCCCCACTGCCGCCACTGGCCTCCTCAGCCGCGCCTCCACTCCCACCGCCTCCACCCCCACCTCCTCCGCCGCCACCCCCACCCCTGCCTCCCTTGTTCCTGCGGCGCCCGCTCGAAGCAGACGCGGTCCCGACCTTCTCAGCACCAAGAAGGTCGACAGCAGCAGCAGAGGCGACAGAGGGGAGGAGGGGGGAAGGGGAACACCCCTCAAAGAACGGGGTGCGGGGGTCGCCACGAGAGGTGCCTACAGCGACGATACTGGCCTCAGCTGCAAGCAGTTCCTTCTCGAGGAGGGCAACAGTGAGCTCAGTGGGGGAGCGAGAGAGGAAATGGTCCCTGACTGCGCGTAGAGAGTCAGGGAGGCGGGTGACAATGTGGTAGAGAGTGATCCAGAGCGGGGGGGGGGTTGCTAGTGAGAAACTCGGCAGGCATAGCAGCGCGAAAGCGGGCCTCACTAGTCTTAAGGTGGGTGATGAGGTCTGCGACAGTGTGAAAGGAGGCTAGGTCGGGGAACAGGTAGGGGAGAGTGAGGCGGCCTAGCGTGGCAGAAGCGGGTGAGGAGTAGCGGGCAACTACAGCTGTGTAGAGGTCCTTAGCAGTCTTGCACTGGCCGAAGTGCTCGCGCTCGTCTAGCGGCAGGGAGTTGCGAATAGCAAAGCGAGCGTGCGCATCACGGGTCTGCCACTGGGAACGCAGAGTGCTGTCAGCAGACGAGTCAGGGGCAGTGACATGGCCTAGGGCGTGGTCGTACAGTGAGGTATCTTCCTTGGCAGTGAGCTGTAGGAACAGGTGCAGGTCATCTAGCCAGGTTTCGAACTTCACTGGACGGCCCTCGGCATCGAAAGCTAGAACGGGAGGACTAGCCATAGTGACAGGATCAGTAGCAGTAGTAACAGTAGTAGTAGGAATCAGGCCGCTGGAAAGGTGTGCGGAGGGTCAACGGGGCCGGCGGGGCCGCTAGGTAAGGCGCGGGCGGGGTCGACTGTCCGTAGTGGCACACGAGCGGCAGTAGTAGGTAGCGTGGCAGCAGGAGCTGCAACGGCGCACTGGTGGCAGCTGCAGTGGCAGCAGTGTGCGCGGTAGGTAGAAAATAAAAACTGTGAGAGCGAGTGCCTCGCGGGCGGCGGCTGCAGAAGCGCACAGGCGGCAGCGGCGCACGGGCAGCGGCGGCGCACTGGCAGCGGGAGCGTAGGGGCAGCGGCGGCGCACGAGCAGCGGCGGCGCTCGGGAGGCAGCGGTGCGCAAGCAGCAGCGGAAGCAGCGGCGTACGAGCGGCTGCGGGCAGCAGGGCGTGCGCGAGCAGGCGACGGGCGGCTGCGGGGCGTGCGCGAGCAGGCGACGGGCGGCTGCGGGGCGTGCGTGAGTAGGCGACGGGGCCGCGGGGCCGCGAAGTGGGGCGCGAGCGGTGCGCGGGCAGTGCGCGGGCGGTGCGCAGGCGGTGCGCAGGTTGCACGGGCTTAGCGCGGGCTGCGTAAGCGGTGCGGGCCTGAAGGGGCGATCGCGGGGCCGACTAGGTCGCTAAGGGGCGAGCGGCGGGTCGATCGCGGGGCCGACGGGGCCGTACGAGGCGGTGCGCGGGGCCGTAAGGGGCGGTGCGCGGGGCCGTAAGGGGCGGTGCGCGGGGCCGTAAGGGGCGAGCGCGGGGCCGTAGCGAGGCCTTAAGGGGCGGCGCGGCGGGGCCGTAAGGGGCAAACGCGGGGCCGACGGGGCTTAAGGGGCGGCGCGACGGGGCCTTAAGGGGCGGGTCGCGGGTCGCTAGTGCTTAGGGGCCGAAAAAAAAGTCGAGGCGCCCTAGGTAGGTAGGTAGGTAGGGAGTTAGGTAGCGGTGGGCCCTTAAAAAAGACGGTCCTAGCGAAGGACCTGCTCTGAAACCATGTCGGAACAACAGACTGGAATGATGAACTAGAAAGGATTGTGAGTACAAATATGAAACCCTAATGTTGTGACCCCCCTACAGGCTAACCCACTACAGCCTACACAAATATAACATATACAATGTTTGACAGATATGATATGACACGATGACTGAATTGAACTCCCATGTGGTTACCACCTGGCTGGTTACCACCTCTCGTCCGGTTACCAGCTCTCACCTGGTTGGCTCCCTGCTGCAGCGCTGCCACCTCTTTAGGCGTGAACTTGGCCATTGATACTGACTTGACCCGTTGGATGAACTCTCGTCTGGTTACCACCTCCTGGTTACCACTTCACTGCCTCTCACCTGGTTGGCTCCCTGCTGCAGCGCTGCCACCTCTTCAGGCGTGAACTTGGCCATTGACACTGACTTGACCCGATGGTTGAACTCACGGCTGCAAATGGTACCATGCAAAAACGAATATAGCATAGCACATAAGTAGCGTATATGTGAGACGTAAAAAAAACAAACAAACAAACAAACAAACAAAAACAAACAGACAAACAAACAAACCAGAAGGGGGAACGTGGGAGAAAGAGTCAACTGGTGTGCCCTTGAAAGGACACGGGGAACAGCGCAAAGACCACGGTCAATGTGGAACAAAGAGGACACTCAACTGGACACCGCTGCATGCAGGACAGACGAAGATGCTGTAGTTGGTGCAAACATACTGAGGGCCCTGAGGGGGGGTTGTCGTGTGCAGTGTTGGGGAGGGAGAGGAGACGGAAAATTGATGGCAGTGGTGCGGAATTATGACAGTGGAAGAAGTTGGAGTGTTAGCGTAAACGAATGCGAGTGAAATTGTACAGTTTACAGTGACGTGACAATTACACAATGGCATGGCATCGTAACGGCAATGTCATCACCTTACATGAGTTTGACCGAACACTGACATGACAGTGACAAGACCAGACCTTGACATCCACATTGATTTGACACTGATATGACATTGACGCAACAGTGACATGCAATGTCATCACCTTACATGAGTTTGACCGAACACTGACATGACAATGACAATGACAAGACCTTGACATCCACATTGATATGACACTGACATGACATTGACGCAACAGTGACATGACACCGACAACACCTTGTCATGTCATGACTTTGGCAAGACGTTGGCATGGCAATGAGAAGGCATTGGCATAGCATTGGAAGCCCATTGCCATTACATTGACACGACATGGCATCGGAAGCGATTGACATGATTTTACATCACATTTTACGACATGACACTAACATCGAAATATATCATAAGTATGACAAGACGATGCTGTGGCAATGAGAAAGCAATGGCATGGAGGACACGGCAAGAAGCAGGTACCAGGCTGCTGCAATTGAAGCATTTCCGGTTCTCCGGAAGCTTCATTAATGCGCGAATGATCTTCTCGTGCTTCTCGTCCTCCCTCATCGTGACGATTGCGAAAAACAAGAATCGGTAGAACGACCACGAACGACCGCGAACGACGGCGAACGACAATAAGAAGGTCCCCCCCCCCGACGACTCCGACGACGACGACGACGAAAATGACGAGGTTAGCTGGATTCTCAACAGATCGTCGTTAGTGTTTCTCGACTGGCCTAAGATTGTCTCGGTTGGATTGCACTGAACTCGGAAAAAGAATAACTCTCGGACCAGTCATGGGGTGTAGCACTGCTCGAACTGCTACCAAGTCTTACAGAAAGCGAGCTGTCAAAAATGGCGGTTGAGTTCAAGGATTCCGTTGGAAATATTCCGCCCAAAGTACCGTCGGAAGTATTCCGTCGGGGGATATCGACTTGCTGATGACAAACACAGTGCGGGATGGGGATTGGCTGTGAGTGGCATTGCGAAAACACGAACATCTCGGCGGAGAAGTAACCAGGCTGTGCGAGAAAGGCACCCTTTTGGAAGAATCTATGATCCCTGAATGAACAGCAGAACGGGTTTTCGCGGAGGGATTCGGCCGAGGTCTTCCCGTCGGGGGATATCGACTTGCTGATGACAAACACAGTGCGGGATGGGGATTGGCTGTGAGTGGCATTGCGAAAACACAAACATCTCGGCGGAGAAGTAACCAGGATGTGCGAGAAAGATACCCTTTTGGAAGAATCTATGGTCCCTGAATGAACAGCATTCCCGGTTTCTGAGGATGTTTCAAGAATCTGCTCATATGTATGTTTTAGCATGAATCCCACAGCTGTAATGTATACCATTGTCGCTGATACAGTTTTTCCTCGTTACAGTGAACTGGACTACGTTCGACGTGGCGCCGTTCGAATCCAGCACAGCACCGACCAGAGGCAGCTACGAATCGAGTGACAGCTGGCGTGGCGAGGTTTCGGTTATCGACGAAACTGCGTTCGTTGTGCAACACTTGCTGACGAAAGCAGGGTTCACACTTTTGCGAAAAGATTCTGGCGCCTGGCGAAGCGATTGCCACCAGAATGCAGCCTTCAGCGACATCTCTGCGACGTGCGCAAACAGCGAAACACGAAAGGGTTTCGCGACTGGCTCGCCACAGGGATGCGAAATGTGAACTTGACAAGATGCCAGCAAACATCAGCAAATCAGCTATAAACCTGACTTGCCCTTGAGTTATGCCAGCAGATTAGATTAGCTGTTTGTTAGTAGCTGAGCAACGAAATCCGAAAGAGTCGCCGCTGCTGGTGCTATATACGCGACGCGAAGCTATGGCAGCGAGCAGTGCGCGCCGATGGGGCCTCGATCAACTATCAGTCCGCGGCAAGGTAGCTCTTGTAACGGGCGCCTCGTCCGGAATCGGCCACGATCTCGCGCTGTTCCTCGTGGCACGTGGATGCCACGTGGTCGCCGCAGCTCGGCGCGTGGACCGTCTGGATCAGTTGTGCGCGGAGGCGGAAAAAATGCGCCGAGATGCGGAAAATCTGCGCGGCGAGGCGTAAGGCATGTGCTGCGGAGTGGGTGATAATCGGGAGGCGGGGAATTCTGGGGGGGTCGAATCGCGTGGTATCGTGGGGAACGAGATGCCGGGGCGCATGCGCGCAGTCGCGATGGACGTCGCGGCGGACGAGGCGGCGGTAGATGCGGCGGTGCAGGCGGCGTGGGACGCGTTCGGGCAGATTGACGTGCTGGTGAACAACGCGGGGTTCCGAGGTGAGCCGCGTTGACTCTCGCTGACTGACTTGCGTTGACTTTGTCTGAAATTAGGGAGTGGGATGCGCCGGGTCGGACAGACGATGTGGTGTGGACTGCAGGAGCTGAGAGGTCTTTGCTGATCGTTGACTGGCTTGACTTCGGTTGACTTGAGCTTCACATGCCTCAAGAGTTGCCTTGACTTTACTTGACTTGCGCTGACGTTACCACCAAGGCGTGTCTTCTACCACCTTGTGCTGACGTGGACGCCACGTGTTTTCAAGATTGCAGGGAAAAAGGTAGACGCGATCGACATCAGCCAATCAGAATTCGACACGTCATTTCACACCAACGTCCGAGGCGCTTGGCTCGTTTCCAAGGCTGTGGTTCGGCACGTGCTGGGGCGGACTGGCGAGGGGGTGCGAGGGGAGAGGGGAGGGAGATGGGAAAGGGTGACAGACGGAAGGAGGAGAAGACTGAACGGGCTCCTGAAGGGGGTAGTAGCGGAGGCACCCGTACAATTTTGAGTGTAATCAACATCGCATCTACAGCCGGTATTCCTGGGGCCATTCTCCCCGGCGGTGCTGCCTACTCGTCCTCCAAAGCTGCTCTCATGCGCCTCACTGTGGTGCGTGCGTAGTGTGGGGGAGGGATGGGTGGGATATGGGGTGTTTGTTAGTCAAGGGATGGAAGGGGGCAAGGTCATTCTCCCCGGCGGTTTTTGAGTCGACTCAAAACCTGCTTTTGAGTCTGCTTTTGAGTCGACTCAAAAGCAGACTCATTACACGCGGAGTCAAGGGATGGAAGGGGGCAAGGTCATTCTCCCCGGCGGTGCTGCCTACTCCTCCTCGAAAGCTGCTCTCATCCCCCTCACTGTGGTGCGTGCTTTGTAAGGGGAGAAGGGGAGGGAATGTGGAGAGTAGGAGGAGCAAGGAGAGGGGTTTGAGACAACTGCAAGCTCACTCGTTATTAATATTATTTGTTTTGTTTCCTTTTGTTCCTGCAAACACCCCATGGTTCACAGGCCATGGCTGTGGAGTTGGGAGAGCATGGCATTCGCTGCAACTGCATCGCACCAGGGATATTCCGATCGGAAATCACCGAGGCAAGATGGGGGGGGGTAAGAGGAAGGGGGTGAGGGGAAGGGGAGTGGAGCCATTGCAGCATGGCATTCGCTGCAACTGCATCGCACCGGGAATATTCCGATCCGAAATCACTGAGGCAAGAAGAGGGAGGGGTGGAGGAGGGTAGGGGAGGGGGAGGGGGGTGGGGGTAAGGGAGGGGGGAGGAGAGTGGAGAGGGGAGTGGGGAGGGAGTGGGGAGGGGAGTGGAGTTGGGGGAGCATGGCATTCGCTACAACTGCATGTGAGCTGAGATATTCCGAAGCAAAATCACAGAGGCAAGAAGAGGGAGGGGTGGAGGGGAAATTGATAGTACTGCAGGGCCAAGAGCTGCTGTCTGTGCAAGTTTTCAGACACTTTGGGAAAGCCGTGAATGGATGGGAACACACACCTTCCCTCTCTGCTCCCTCCCTCCCTCCCTCCCTCCCTCCCTCCCTCCCTCCCTCCCTCCCTCCCTCCCTCCCTCCCTCCCTCCCTCCCTCCCTCCCTCCCTCCCTCCCTCCCTCCCTCCCTCCCTCCCTCCCTCCCCCTCCCTCCCTCCCTCCCTCCCTCCCTCCCTCCCTCCTCCCTCCCTCCCTCCCTCCCTCCCTCCCTCCCTCCCTCCCTCCCTCCCTCCCTCCCTCCCTCCCTCCCTCCCTCCCTCCCTCCCTCCCTCCCTCCCTCCCTCCCTCCCTCCCTCCCTCCCTCCCTCCCTCCCTCCCTCCCTCCCTCCCTCCCTCCCTCCCTCCCTCCCTCCCTCCCTCCCTCCCTCCCTCCCTCCCTCCCTCCCTCCCTCCCTCCCTCCCCCTCCCTCCCTCCCTCCCTCCCTCCCTCCCTCCCTCCCTCCCTCCCTCCCTCCCTCCCTCCCTCCCTCCCTCCCTCCCTCCCTCCCTCCCTCCCTCCCTCCCTCCCTCCCTCCCTCCCTCCCTCCCTCCCTCCCTCCCTCCCTCCCTCCCTCCCTCCCTCCCTCCCTCCCTCCCTCCCTCCCTCCCTCCCTCCCTCCCTCCCTCCCTCCCTCCCTCCCTCCCTCCCTCCCTCCCTCCCTCCCTCCCTCCCTCCCTCCCTCCCTCCCTCCCTCCCTCCTCCCTCTCACACTTTCGTGCTCAGAATCTCACTCTGCTCTCTCCTTCCTCCCTCCCCCCCTCTCTATTTTGTGCATCTCTGCAGAAGCTCTTAGACAAGCCATGGATGGAGAGGAACGCACAGGTGGTGGTGCCGATGCAGAGGTATGATGAGGTTTGGATGGGTTCAGAGGGTTTAAAGAGATGTCAGAGGATTGAATGCGAATTATGAAAGGAGACAGACGAGCCGTGGATGGAGAGGAACGCACAGGTGGTGGTGCCGATGCAGAGGTACGACTGGGGCTTTAAGGGCTTGTAGGGTTGTAAGGATTCTAGTATGTGTCTGTGTCTGAAGGCTCTTTCTAATCTATTCTAGTATGTGTCTGTGTCTGTGTGCCTTCTTAAAACCTCTTCTCCCTTTTCTCCCGTTCCTTCCCCCTGAGCTCCCTCCCTCCTCTCCACCACCCTCCCCCCCCCTCCCCCCTTCGACAGGTGGGGTTCTATCCATCCCGACCTCACGTCCCTCCTCCTCCTCCTAGCCTCTGACGCCTCTTCATACATCACAGGGCAGTGTATTGCTGTGGACGGGGGACACCACTTGATGCGAGCTAGGTTGAATCCAAAACTGTGACAAATGAGTGGACTGTCATGATGAAGCTTTCAAATGAAACGTCTCAGAATATATGTTACCGTATGTTGCTTGCATGTCTCTAACCACTTTTGAGGCGCCTCAAAACTAGACGTCTCAGAATACATGTTGCTTGCACGTCTCTAACCACTTTTGAGGCGCCTCAAAACTAGACGTCTCAGAATACATGTTGCTTGCATGTCTCTAACCAGATTTGAGGCGCCTCAAAACTAGACGTCTCAGAATACATGTTGCTTGCATGTCTCTAACCAGTTTTGAGGCGTCTCAAAACTAGACGTCTCAGAATAGATGTTGCTTGCATGTCTCTAACCAGTTTTGAGGCGCCTCAAAACTAGACGTCTCAGAATACATGTTGCTTGCATGTCTCTAACCAGTTTTGAGGCACCTCAAAACTAGACGTCTCAGAATACATGTTGCTTGCATGTCTCCAACCAGTTTTGAGGCGCCTCAAAACTAGACGTCTCAGAATACATGTTGCTTGCATGTCTCAAACCAGTTTTGAGGCGCCTCAAAACTAGACGTCTCAGAATACATGTTGCTTGCATGTCTCAAACCAGTTTTGAGGCGCCTCAAAACTAGACGTCTCAGAATACATGTTGCTTGCATGTCTCTAACCAGTTTTGAGGCGCCTCAAAACTTGACGTCTCAGAATACATGTTGCTTGCATGTCTCAAACCAGTTTTGAGGCGCCTCAAAACTAGGCGTCTCAGAATACATGTTGCTTGCATGTCTCTAACCTCGTCTGTTGGTTGAGACGACAATGGGTACAAGCGTGCTCTTATACGGTATCATAGTCCCACTGCGCTGTACAACAAAGAACAAGATAAACTTGCGAATTCCAGCGAAATGACCATTTTGGACCCGTAGGAATTGTCATTTCGTGACGAAACAAATCATCATCTCATTTTTTTGAGTCCGATGATGATTAGATCCCAGCAGGCACATCAAGTGACCCTGAAGCTACGAGCCGTGATAGGACCTGCAAGCAATCGCAACAGCAGGCAGCAATGGGAAGCCACAAATCACAACATTCTGATGAAAGATTTTTGAGAAATCTCAAAAACCAGTTCTGATGAAAGATTTACAAATCACAAGATTTTCTATTCCAGCCCAAGCGGGGACAATCATGTGGCCACACTGCTACGAGCTGTGAAAGCTCCGGCACTGCCCCCCTATCTCACCTCCCCACATCTCACCTCCCCACATCTCGCCTCCCCACATCTCACCTCCCCACATCTCACCTCCCCACATCTCACCTCCCCACATCGTGCCTCGATCTTGATCCTAGCAATGCCATCGGCACGGTTTGGACCCACAGCTAGCAGTGCTAGCGGCTTGCCCTCGTGCACACATTGGCTGGAGAGGGTAACAGAAGGTGGGGAGGAGGGGAGGGGAGGTATGACGTTACATTGATGCCATGAGCTCGGTTTGGCCCCACAGCTAGCAGTGCTAGCGGCTTGCCTTCATGCATGCATTGGCTGACAGGGTTGGGGGGTTGGGAGGAGGAGGGGAGGGAAGGTGTGAAGGTACTGAAATGCCATGAGCTCGGTTTGGCCCCACAGCTAGCAGTGCTAGCGGCTTGCCTTCATGCATGCATTGGCTGGGAGATGGAATGAACGGGGTGGGGGAATGATGGAGATATGGGGATGGGCAGTGGCAGGAGTGGAAATGAAACAGAGACTAGCACAAGCATGAGTGGAGCCCACAGGCAACACTGCTAGTGGCTTCCTTTGCCTTGATTCTTAGAATTGATCCCATTGGCCGGAATTCGAAACACAAGAAATAATGCACAAAAAAAAAAAAGGATTTCGAGGAGGCAGCGGGAGTGAAGAAAGTAAAAAAATAATCTTCCAGATTTATTTTTCTCCCTTTTCTTGAACCGCACCTTGCAATTCTGAAAGCTGAGAGAACCATCAGTGACGAGCCAACGACCAATAGCGAGTCAGCAGATGACATCATCCGGGCAGCTTCCTGGCTGCGGGCAGGTGGAAGGTTGTCACCAAAAAACACAACCTGCCCGAGGTCATAGAAAGTACCACAAGAATTAAAACAAAAACAGTTTTGAGTCGACTCAAAACCAGCTTGATTAAGCATCATGCACATCCAGCATAAAAAATGCTTAAATTATGCAGAGACAAGAAATGGAATTACAGTTGGTAATTATGCAGCCAATCAACCGATTCTTGAGACGCCTTGAAACAAAACATGGAAATGCAATTGGTTGGCATGCAAGCTACTTACATTGGGTTTCAACACGCCACCACATTCACCACAGCTCGGCACACTAAACTCCCCATGCCTCTCCCACTCCTCCTCGCTAATCTCAATATCCCCATCTGGTCGCCTCCGCATGCCAAACGACTCGTCTGACCCTGCTGGCTTTCCCTCCTCCAAATGCTCCACCGCCGCTGCCCACTGCATGAACAGGAAAGGACGAGAGAAGGAGAAGTGGTGAGGGAAGAAGGGGAAGGAGGGGGGGTGGGAAAGGGAGGTGGGTGGGGAGGTGGAATGAAACATGGACCTTTGCCTCCATCCCTGCTGGTTTTCCCTCCTCCAAATGCTCCACCGCTGCTGCCCACTGCATGGGTAGGAAAGGAGGAGAGGATGAGGGGTAAGGGGAGATGTGAGTCGTGTTTTGAGTTGACTCAAAACAAGGGGAGATGTGAGTCGTGTTTTGAGTTGACTCAAAACAAGGGGAGATGTGAGTCGTGTTTTGAGTTGACTCAAAACAAGGGGAGATGTGAGTCGTGTTTTGAGTTGACTCAAAACAAGGGGAGATGTGAGTCGTGTTTTGAGTTGACTCAAAACAAGGGGAGATGTGAGTCGTGTTTTGAGTTGACTCAAAACAAGGGGAGATGTGATGTCTAGTGGTTCGGCGGGGACAGAGGGGGGAGCGGAGCAGCAGAGCGTGCCGGGTGGGTGCAGAGCAGAATCAAAAGCAATGACATGTTTTTTTTGGCACGAATGAAAGCTATTTTACCACCACTTCTATTGAATGTACAAGAGGGCTCTCGTTACTGAAGGCTGAGAGCTAAGAGAAAAGAACAGACCTCTGGGTTGGCCCCTTTGATCCTTTCCTGGAAGGTTCTTCGACATGAAATGTCTCCACATTGCATGCAGACCACCTGGTGATGTGACGAGAACCGCATCACCGAGAAAACGAGAGCGGGACCACCAGGTGGTGTGACCAGATGAGATGCACAGAGAAAACGAGGTGACTTTTGAGTCGACTCAAAAGCCACCCTGGTGATGTGACGAAAACCACAGATGAGATACACAGAGAAAACGTACCGCATCAGATCAGATGACACATCACATGAGGCTCATGCGAACCTACTTACAATATTTGGTTTCAAAAGTAAGGCCACTTTTGAGAATTCTCAAAAGTTAGGCCATCTCACAGGAATTGGAAGATGCTTAAATGACAGTTTTTTAGTCGACTCAAAAGTAATTTTGCCAGGTGGATGGAGCAAGTGAGATCCACTCTCGCTGCTCAGCTCAAATCAAGGTCCTTGATAACTGATTCCCTATTTGCCTCATGTGTAGTGCCGGCCGTGGAGGTTTTGAGGCACCTCAAAAGACGCCTTACTCCCACTGCTCAACTCGACTCATGGCCCTTAACAGCCAAATTCGCTTTTTACCTCATGTGTAGTGCCGTGGAGCTCAAGGGCTGGGCTTCCCCCAATGTGGTGCAGTCTGGGGGGGGACCCGGATGAATGGGGGCGAGAGGAAGGAGAGTTGGGTTGGGAAAAGGTAAGGGGGAGGAGATTGTTAAGGGAGACCCACTCAAGTGCTGTTCAGTTCACAGGGTTGGGTTTGTAGAAATGTGATGCAGTCTGGGAGGGGACCCGGAAAAACGGGGGCGAGTGGAAGGGGAACTGGGGGGGGGGGGGAGGGTGGGAGAGTGCTGTGGTGGGCTTGCGTGAGGCATCTGGCAGCATCGGTGACATAACAACTCCTGAAACGCACATGTCAACGTTCTGAGTGATGATGCCGCCCTCCAGTCTTCCCCTTGCATGCAGCTGCGCCAGAGCCCTGTGCGACGTGCCCCTCAAGCATAACATTCCAGCCCCCTTTGCTACACGCCTGATAGCGTCTGAAGCGCACCTATCAACGTTCTGAGTGATAATGCCGCCTGCCAGTCTTCCCCTCTCATGCAGCCGCGCTAGTGCCCTGTGCGCTGCGCCCGGCCGGGCAGCTGAAAATCTCCGCCAGCCAATGAAGCTGCGAGCCCAATAGCGTCTTCGGGCAGACAGAGAACGAACAAAGTCCTGGCGTGGCGTGTGAGAGGGGGAAGGAAGCAACTCGAAGTCTCTCAACAATCCCCAACACTCTTGCAACAACATTCCCCAACACTCCCCACCCCCAGAACTCTCAAAACATTCGTAACCCTTCAATGTACAAACGAAGGTACGTTCTGTATTCTAGCACCCTCACCACCTAGGGGTGCATGCAAAACCCAGAAGGACAAAGAACAAGAAAGGCCATAAAAATGGTGTAGGAAGTACAGGAAAAAAACAAAAAATTGAGGCGCCTAAAAAATCGCCAAGAAAACCCATGAGAATAGTGTAAGAAGTAGAGAGGAAAACTCAAGAGTCTGCCTGGAAGATCAATGCTCACGCCCCCTCGGTAGTGTGTTCAATCAAAGGGATGAAAAGGTCTAGAAAATGACTCTCACTCAAGTAACTGCCTGGTGAATCGCTGGAGCGTGTCTGTTTATGCGTGCGTCATTAGTAGCCGCATGGTAAAAAGCATGAAAGGTGTGGAAAGTGACTCTCCCTCAAGTACCTGCCTGGTGGTTCATTGGCTTGTACCCCTTACTGTATGCTCCACCTGGGCTGCACATTGCTTTAAAACGCTAAGACCCATGCATTCGTGCAAAGATATGCAAACTGCTTGGAAAATAAAACAAAATTTCTAAATATGATGAAATGAATCTTCTCTCTAAAAACATCTTCGCTATAGACTGACCTTCTGTAGTCCGGAATGCCGCTCTCCGTGCTCACCCCAGCGCCAGTCAGTACCAGCAACCGCCGGCTGTCAGCCACGAAATCGTGCAGCTGCTCCAGCTGTCCGTCCGTGATTGGCGGAGCGTCGGGAACTATGGACGTTGCTAGACCGCGCGCGAACCGGGTTCCAGCTAACGCGCGGCGACTACGGACAGACGCTGTGTGATGTTTTGAATTGAACGGCTCTTTCAAGTTCAATTTGGATGCTAGAAAAATATCCTCTTTACCACGCCCACCTGCGGTTCGAATGACAGAGGTCACGGGGCTAATCTTGCTACTCGCACACCCGAAAACAAGGTGATACGATCGGGTGGTGTTGCTACCACTACCACTGCCACTGATAATACTGTTTTTCATTCCATAAGTCGAGTGTTCACGCGCGCCATCGCAACTACTGGTGTTCGACTGAATTCGCGATTGAAGCATCCTCTCGTTAGGCGACAAGAACACCCTCCCAGAACCAATCTCCCCTGGTCTAAAACGAATTCTTCCAAAATTGATATCTCCATGGCTGGATTTCCCCGAACTTAGTCGCCAGGCCCACTCCGTCAAGTGCGGGCCGTAGACCATGCTAGCTAGCACCCTCGCCATTGAACAACAGAAAGAAAGAGATTTTTCCTTCCGGATAGATCACCAAACTGACGGTAACGGCGAACTGACGGAGATTGTACTATCGTTTGCGGACTGACGACGTCATCATCCTGGAGTTCCTGACAGCCGCAGGAATGACGGTGTGAGGGTGGTATCACGGCGAAGCAAACTTCGATTGAATGAGATGCTTTACGTTCTGAAACGGTTAAGAAAGGTCTTGAGTGTATTCCCCAGTGGGTATCGTCATTCTCAAGGCAAATGTGACTGGAAGGGTTTGGAAGGAAACCTGCGTTTTTAAGTAGCTCGTTACAATGGTATGCCGACAGTGGCTGCTTTTCTTTGCAAAGATATGTTCAAATTCATCGCACAATGAAAAGCGTAACGTGTCACTGTTCGCAAATCCGCGTCACCCGTTGTCCCCCACCTCATGAGGGTTTTAGAAAGCCTGCCTTCATTCTAAGCTCGGTACCACCCTCTAAAGCTCTGTATTTTCGGTTTTTAAGCTGGTATCGTATTGCACCTCACTGGAGAACCTGAATCTGGCCGCCATTATCACAACAGCAAAATCCAGCCACCACTACCACACCAGACAACCACAAGGAATCCGCGAGGATAGATATTTTCAACCTCATCTCTTCCTCAGCATTTTGTTGGCGTTCACAAGCTTCCAGTTTCTTCCCGAATCTCGCGTGATTCGCGGTGCTGTACGCCTGTTACGCCTTTGTCTAACTCACGCATAGTCGCCCCATTAGTCGGTAGTCGCAACTCGTCGCCGTCAGTCGTCAGTCATCCGTCAGTTAGCCACGCAAGATGATTTACGACGTTAACTCGGCGCTCTTCCGTTCGTTTCTGAGCACCAAGGGTGCAGTCGTTGACAAGAAGTAAGCTCTCCTTTCCTTCTTATGTGTACACTTGACCCTCGTTCCTACTCTGCTTCCCCTCACGGTCTCGCGCTTCCTTCCTATTCTCTTTCCCTTGTTAACCCTCTTTTATTTCTTCGTTTTCTAGTATTTTCCCCTCATTTCTGCCTTCTCCTTTCCTCCTCCCCTTCTCGTTCGTCCGCAATCCGTGCGTGGGAGCAGGAAGACAGCGTCCGACGATGCAGCGGCTGCAGCAGCTGCAGCGGCTCTCAAGGAAGCTTCACTGAAAGACACGCCCAAGCCCGATTCCACAACCATTCAGCAACCCGCCAAATAGTGTGCTCAGAAAATGTGAAAACCATCTCTGTAATAACCTATACGGTATTTCCAATGTAGCCCAGCTTGGTTTCAAATGTCAGGGATGCGTTCAACCCCAGTGGGTTGGGCTGGGCTGGGTTGAAGTTCCCTTCCCTGCCCCTCCCCACCAGTGCCTACGCCCATGTCCATGCCTACACTCATGTCTCATAGCCATCAAACAGATCCAGCAAGTGAGATTGCCTGAACTGGAGAAAGGGATTGTACCGTAATCACCCGGACATACCACCCGCCGAAATAGAACACCCCCCGGGTGGCTTGTGCGGGGGGGGTGCTATAGCGGACCTCGTTTCTACTATACCCCCCTTTTGGGCCGATCCGGTATAAGACCCGGGGGGGGTGTTATGTGTTGGGCTGAGATAGCCCCTTAGGATCTTTTCAGGGGAGAACTCTGGGTAGGACAATTGTAATAGCGGAAGCTTTTAGTGAAGTAATTGTGAACCACCTTGCGCTAGTATGTGAGGGCAAAGTAGATTAATTATAACAGGAAAGTACAAGAATATATAGTGGTGTAAGGAATATCAAAGGATACGGTTATTGTCAGAATGAGGAATGGATGATGCATTGATGTTGGTTGGGGTACATATAGCTAACCCTAAGTTTTGTACCCCCTAAGACAAACCTCACTATAGGCTACAACATTTGACACACCCCCATAGCCTAAGTGAGGGGTGTCTAGCAGAACCAAACGAGTACGGTCACAAGACCAGTCCAAGAAACGAAGCTCAGGGTGGATCACAACGTCACCACACAGTCTGAGCACAAACAACAGTGGCCACAAGGCCAGTCCAAGAAGTAACAGAGGTATATAGAAAGCAAAGTAAACAGTACACTCAAGCCTAAGCAACACGAGAACCAGTGTCAACAAGGCCTAACTGCACACAGCACCTCTGGTGGTCACAAGGCGGAAGCGCCTTGGTGAAGATGTCTGCAGTGTTGGCCTCGGACTCCACAAACTCAAAGCGAGCCTGTCCACGCCTCTGCAACTCTCGCAGAAGAAAGTACCGGACATGAATGTGCTTCACTCTGCTCTCCAGTCGTGGCTCTCGACAAAGGAGAATCGACGCCTTGTTGTCAGTGAACAAGGTCGGTGCAGAGCTCGGCCGCTCACCAAGGTCGGTGAGCAAGAAGGTCAACCAACGCAGCTCCTGTGCCGCCATGGCACCAGCGTAGATCTCAGCCTCAGCTGTAGAGGTCGAGACCGAAGAGGAGCGCGTGGACCGCCAGGAAACAGCTCCAGAACCCAGGCTGAAACAGTACCCCTGAGTAGACCTGTGAGTCTCAGCGTCGTCAGCGTAAGAGGAGTCACAGTGACCAGTAAGTACGACAGACTGCTGCCCTCCAAGAACTAGCCCCACGCCTGACGTCGTCGCTAGGTACTTCGCCACCCTCACAGCTGCTGTCCAGTGAACAGGACGGTGTCTCCCTGGCGCAACAAAGCGCGCAAGAACGCTGAGAGGGAAGGCGAGGTCCGGGCGAGTACAAGTCATCAGGTACATGAGGCAACCCACAAGCTCTGCGTAGGGACCACTAGGCTCGAACGGCTCGTCAGGAAAGGGTCCAGTGAGTCTGTGGTCAACAGCAAGAGGTGTGCGCTGTACTGTGGAGTGCTGAAGCCCGAACCGCTGAAGGACCTGCTGCACCATGTGCGACTGTGAAAGTGTAATGGTGCGAGCAGCTCTGTCCCTGGTGATCTGCAGGCCAAGGTAGTGGCGCAGCTCACCAAGATCAGTGCAGGTGTGTCTCTTCTGCAGTTCGGACTTCACGTGTGCCAAAGCAACCCTGTCAGGGGTGGCGAAAACAAGGTCGTCAACGTAGACCAGAACAAAGAAAGGTGTGGGGCCACGACGAACGAACAGCGACGGGTCAGCAGAAGACGGCTGGAACCCAAGGTCAGACAGGGTAGAACGCAGGGTGTCGTGCCACTCACGAGGAGCCTGACGAAGACCGTAAACCGGTCGCCTCAGCCTCCACTGGGTCCCAGGAGGGAAAGAGCCAGTGAAGGCAGAGGGACGACGCAACCAGACCTCCTCGTGAAGACTGCCCTGAAGGAAAGCAGTAGAGAAGTCGAGAGAGTGTAACTCGTAGTCTCTCTGTGCTGCTACGTGTAGTAACACCCGAAGAGTGGTCATCTTCGGGGTGGGCGCGAAGGTCTGAAAGAAGTCAACTCCCTCGCGCTGACTGAAACCTCTAGCCACGTAGCGCGCCTTGAAGACCGGAGGAGATCCCGGTGGCCGCTTCACCCTGTAGATCCACATGCCGTCGACTACGTTCGCCCCAGGTGGGGGAACCTCATCGACGTAGGTGCCTGTGGATCTGTAAGAGGCCATCTCTGCGTCCATGGCAGCTCTCCACTGAGAGGCCCAAGGCCCTGACACTGCCTCAGCGTAAGTGCGAGGAGTCGGAATGTCAAGGGCGTCGGGGTCACCCTCAGGGGCGAGGAGCATGGCACAGAGATGAGGGGAAGCGGCCGCCAGGAACTCTAGCTCAAACTGCCTGTCCTCTAGGGCGTCACAGCCAAGGGCAGACACACCCCCGACGGCCAGAGGACTGGAAGGAGGAGCTGCCACAAGAGCGGTGGCGAAGTCAAGGCGGCGGGTAGAGGCAAACTCAGTGACTGCGGCAGTAAGAGCGGACACAGAGGACACAGAGGCACGAGGGTGGGTAATAAGAGAGGCGAGAACACGAGAGAGAACAGGACGGTACGTGCGGTAGTAGTCAGTGACAGGAGTAGGAAGCGACGCAGTGAGGGCAGACTCAGGAGGAGACGGAAGCACAGACGGAGACGGACGAGGTGGACGAGAACAAAGGAAGGCTGTACGAAGGTCAGTGAAGGGAACAGGAGACGAGGGACGAGCACGAGGGGAGCGACGAGAGGCCCAAGTCTGAGAAGGAGGAGGAGACAACGAAGACTGAGAACGAGGGAAAACAGCGGGAGAGGGGTCAGGAGGAGGAAGCGGAGGACCAGAGACGGGAGGAGAGGGGGAGGAGGAAGGAGAGGGAGACGGGAG